AAATTGAGAATACGGTAATAAATAAAGACACGGTAATGAAAATAAAAATACGGTAATAGGAATAAGAATACGGTAGCAAGAATAGGAATACGGTAACGGAAATAAAGATGCGGTAGTAAGAATAAGAATACGGAAATAAGATTACGGTAATAAATTAAAAAATGGTATCAAGAGTAAGAATACGGTAATAAAGATAATGGTAGTAAGAAGAAGAATACAATAATAAAATAAGAAGACGGTAACGAGAATAAGAATACGGTAATAGAATAGAAGTACGGTAAAAAGAATGAAAATACGGTAATAAAATAAGAGTACGGTATCAACAATAGAAATACGGTATCAAGAATAAGAGTACGGTGATAATGATAAAAATACGGTAGCCAGAACAAAAGTACGGTAATAAAAATAAGAATACGGTAACGGGAATAAAAAATACGGTAGCAAGAATAGGAATACGGTAACAAGAATAAGAATATGGTAATAAGAATACGGTAGCGGTAATAAAGATACGGTAATAAAAATAAGAATACGGTAATAGAATAAAAATACTGTAATGAGAACAAAATTACGGTAATAAAATAAAAACGTATCAAGAATAAGAATACGGTAATAAAGATAAAAATGCGGTAGCAAGAACAAAAATACGCTAATAAAATAAGAATACGGTAACGAAAATAAAAGTACGGTAACAAGAATACGAATACGGTAATGAGAATAAGAATACAGTAAGAATAACGGTAACGGAAATAAAGATACGGAATAAAAAGAATACGGTAACGGAGAATATAAGATACGGCAATAAAATGAGAATACGGTAACGAGGATAGGAATACGGTAATATGATAAGAATACGGTAATAAAATGAGATATTTTAATTTTTGTATTCTAATATTGTAATTTTGTAATTTAACCAATTTATAATTATTTTTTTTTTTTCGGTAATGCTATTTCAGTAATTTCTATTTATAAAATCAATTGATTATTTCAAGACGAAATTTTATAAAATTACAAAAATTATATGAAATAATTATACAATTAATTCAAAACAAAAAAAATTTCCATAATTGTTATTTCCATAATTGGCATGAAATTGCTGGGAGCGTTGTCGTGTTATTTCTCAATAAATTTTCTTCCGTCTCTTTTCGTCGTCTGTCTTATTTATTATAGCACCGTATAGTTCAAGCTCAGATTTTTTGTTATCATAGAAAAGAAATATTTCGCAGACTTTGTGCAATATAGTAAAAAGTTTTTTTGGCAAAATCAGCACTAATTATTTTTGACATAATTCACAAATGAGATAAAAGATCATTTAAACGAACTGTCTAAGACAAAGATTTATTCTTTCTGTGTATCTCAGGTTGTGATAACTAGAAAAAGTATGAATATCAGAGAAGTTCCAACTATTCGTTTTATCCTGCTAATCATGCCGTTATTATTGGCCAGCATGTTGCTTCGTTTTATGTATGTTGAACTTTTGCAAAGGCCTTAAATTTACAGATTGTATAGTACGCGGTGCTAATATTATGGAAAAAAGAAAAATATTACAGTCTTACGTACTTTACCAAATTTTATTTTTATATCGTTGTCGTAGTGTAATTGGACTCCATTTTTAGTTGCTTCTTTACTTATATACGTTATCAATGGGTTTTGTTCATTTTCGTGATAACTGCTGGGCGAAATATCCACTGGATAATTATTATTGGGTAGCCGTAACATCTTGCGTTATTCTTATACAGGTGTGGAAACATTTCTATTTACATCTTGATGATAATTCATTTAAACAAATCGTCATTTATATCAGAATCAGCAAGATCACATGATCCACACTTTAAAATATAAAAAGTAAATGTCTGATGGACGATTTGGTGAAAAAGAGAAGACAAAAGACTTTAATTTATGTTGTTTCAGATCGCTTATACAAATCTTTCATGTGGTTCATTGTTGAGTTATATTTTTGACTGCAACATTTGGGTTATAATAATCTCATTTTTTGGTAACTGTGATTATTGTTATTAGCGAATTGTGCAAGCTTTATTTAATCAAACTTCATTATCGTGACCAACGGAGAAGAAAGCTTGACTTCAATACGAAATTGGGCATGAATTCACCATATTAATGTATTTATTTCTATATTGTAATTGCAGTTTTTATGTGAAGTCCTTAACAAGGATACTTCATTAGCAGAATTTTAATGAGGATATGATTTTAACTTTGCGGTGCAACAGATTGTTGAAACCCTGTAGTCTTGGTAATTTTAATGCTACTATAGTGAAATTTAGTTTTAGTGATAAAAATTTCACTCAACTTCCGTTTGATGAAAGTCATGTTATTTAAATGTCGAATTTTTTGTTAAAAAGTTTATATTTAAAGTTTTAAATTTGAATTACCAAAATTTGATAATTAGTTTCTAGTTTAGATCTTGCATATGCATTGGGCCGCCATTAGATTTGAAAATCGATGTAAAACAAAGAGTTGATTATTTAAAATTTTTTTCAGTGAGAGATATAATGCTTTTCTGTTGATCATTCAACAGTAGAGCTTGTGAATTCTACTTACATTTATTTGGGATTAGCTGCTGATATTCAAAAAAAAAAAAAAAAAAAAGAATCAATTTTAGAAACTTCAATAAATTTGTTGGGTTACACTTCCCAGTGGAGAGTTAGACAAATATAAGTCGGAGGACGGTTTGTTATAATTTCAATATTAAGACAATGTCTTGCTCACTGCACTTGCAGCATTCATTCTAACCCCAACTGATTTATCTGAGAAAATTGATTTTCGTAAGTTTATTGGAATTTTTTAATGTTTGTTTGAAATTCATTAGCACTTTGAAGATCGGCAAGTTGTAACCAAAATACTCTGAGTTCGCTTCACAGAAATGGCGAATTCCTCGTGTCACATAGATGATTTGTCAGTTTAGAAATTCAAATAATTTACCATTTGATATTTTTAGCACTTAATTTCCCTTCTCTACTTTATAGAAATATTCTAAAGTGAAACAATGCTGAAAGTTTTCAGTGAAATGAAATCGTTCTCTTTGTGGAAACCATCGTTGTATTCTCAATCACTTCTGCTGAATTCATGTGAATTCAATTTTATTCCACTTTTCGAGTGTTTTCAGTCATAGTGTAGAAAGCGTGATGATTTCCTCAATGTGTTTCTTTCTGATTTATATTAGTCAGATCACGCCAGATTTTAAAATTTCCTTGAATATTATCATTTTCGACAGTTTATAAAGAAGATGATGTAAAGAAATGCTTTTCTCCAATATAAACTGCTAATGGCTTCATTGACGTCACAATATGATCGAGGAAAATGATTGCTAAACAAATTGATAAGTATGGAATTTAAAAGAAAATTTTTTAACTAAAGGAATAAACATAATTTGCCTCATTTCCAATGTTGTTTTCATTTTTGAAACAGTTATTCTATTGCTAATTGTAAGCTTTATTTATTTGCAGGTATTTCTTTTTATTTTATTTGTAGGTTCGTAGAATCTTTTTAATTTAATGTAAAGTTTACTGCAAGGCATGGGACACAATAGTCCAAAATGATCTCCTTCTGAAAATAGGAAACTTGAATAATGACTACATAGAAGTCCAATTTGGCAGGTTATTGCAAATTGAAAAGTGTGATCGTGAATACAGATAGTGATTTATCATGCAAGCCTTATCATTATTATCACAATCGTTCTACGTTCGGATCGAGATTTACTTCTCGTTGTTCGTGGAATTTTCCGAGTAGTGGATCATGACATAATGAATGAGAATGGATTGAACTGAATTTATTTCCAGCTCGAACGATATAATTGGCACTTCTTAAAGTTGATCTGACGATGTTCGTCCTAATTTGGTTGACATAACAAAACATGATAGCACATTTCTCAACAAACTAGTGACAGACTTCCAAGCTTGAAAGTGGAGAGGAAACAACGTAGTACGAAGAACTCATCAGGAGATATATAAAAAAAGCTATAAACTTTGGTAGACGCTTGTTAATGGCGGTTGACATTACCTGTCCCAGCCTGATCTCTGACCCTCCAAGAATAGTATTCTACCCTATTTTCTTCTCAAAGCTTATATAAATAAAGTACTTCATCTTGAGTTGTTACGCCAATCTATTAATTAACATAGAGGCTTGTAAAACTCCTAGACAAATTCCATACATAACAAACTGTAATGAGAGTTAAATAGTATCTCAGGGTGACTATTCTAGTATTTGACCGATGTTGTCTTACAGTCTTCGTAGTTTTTATAACCATATATATATATATATATATATATATAGTTTTTATAATCGGAAACTTGCTTCCGTTCTGTATTTTCATGCCTAAGGTCTCTTTGAAAAAAGAATTTTTTTTTTAGTCATAAGTATCAACTTGCACAAATCTTGATCATAAAAAGTGTAATGGAAATGCTGGTAAATTAAGTGAAAAAAGATAAATTGATATAACAGATCAACAATGATTTTCATGTAAAAAAAACTTTGAGTAATATCTAAAGGTCAATGGAAAAAAGGCATTGAAAATCCTTTCTGTATATCTTAAAAATAACCATTCTACAGAATAATAGGAATATGTAATTATGCATAAATGGAAAGGCATGAAATAGTATTAAACTACAGGAAATTATTTAGAATGAAGAGGAGAAACTTAGAATAAGGTTGAAAATCATAAAGAAATTTTAGCAAGTGAAAATACGAATATAGAAAAATTCGAATCAAATAGAAGGCACATAAAACAGGTCAACATAATGCATATCAGTGAAATATATGTATTCATTATTAATACTCCAACGTAAAAATATTTTTAACCATCAGAAAAAGCGGTAAATTTTTGCTCCATACGGTATTTAATTTTTTCTGATCTCTTTGCTAGCCATAATGAAGTTCCATAACTTGAAAATAAAATTTGAAATTGCTCAAATAGGGATTTCTGCATTCTTTACTGGATGACTAAAATTTAGGACAGGAAAACAAAATCGATTTATTAGAATAATCCGTTATAATTCAGTCTTGTAAAGACGATTTATTTTAACCAGTTCTTTCTCAGTTTGATACACAATATTATCTGCGTTTTGAGATTCAATAGAAGTTCCACTAGCTGTTTGAATATGACTATTTCGTGAGCCACCATAAAATCGAACAGTAGGATAAATGGCCACGCCAACATTCCGACAAACATTTGGCCATAGTCCACAATCGACTTTTGCAAGTTTCACACGACCGTGCAAAACCTGGAAAAGGATCGGATTAAAAGGTGGTGACAACGAAATTATAAGTAGGATAAAAGATTATGAAAAATTATAAATATTTATCGCTATTTGCATTTTTGCCAAATAAGCGTACAAAAACTGGAAAAATTGCTGCACAAAAATGACCATATAACAGTACAATATTTCTCCAATAATTTAAATTGTTAAGAATTTAAAAAGAAAAATAACTGATTCCCGCATTAATTTATATTGTCAGTAATTTCAAAACGTTGAGCAAAAACAGGCAAACATAGAAATGACCTACTTATCCACAAAACAGATATTGAGAATGGAGAGAGAAAGAGAAAGAGAGGGAATTTAGAAGGTTCTGCAGCGACTCTGCATCTGTTTAAAATTCCTGGAATCATAAGTTCATTTTCTAACATACCTCAGCAACACGCTCAAAAACAGGTGCAAATTCAATGCAGTGTGAGCACCAAGTGACAAAAAAGTCGACTAGCCATGGTTCATCATCTTCCAATACCTTTACAAAGAAATCGTTTCCCATACTTATAACTTTTGATGGCAAATAATTTCTCAGCCATACTTCCATCGAGCGGTGATCACGCCACCAGTTTGAAGGATAATCTCTGTAAGCCTATCTTCTTGACTAATTCTCAGAAAGAGAAATATGAAATCCTGCACATGGAAGATTTCAACAAATAAGTACACAGAGTGTAACTCCACTAGTAAAAAAAGTAATATAAATATCACATAATAGCATCTCAAATCACTGCACACCAGTTTTTTCAACAATACAGAAAGCCAATGAGAGATAATACTACTAACACGGTGTAAGAAGCAGAGGAATATAGTCGGATGGTTGGATAACTTTGAACACCTAAATTCATGCACAGCTGGCGATGATGATCACAATTGACCATTCCAAAATGAACGATTTCCTTCATGCGCATATTTCGAGCGAGCTTCTTGTACTCAGGTGCTAACTGTACCAGTGTGAAAATCGAGCTTGTGTTATTTAATAATCAACAAAATAGCTGGAGTGAATTTATAGAGGTTAAAAATTCTACCGTTTATTCTTGATTTTCAAAAACATCTATACCTGATTACAAGGCCCGCACCATGGCGTATAAAAATCAACCAGCCAAATAGTACTTTGTCTTCCATCCGAAATCAGTCGATCGAAATCCGATGGCGATAAATCGATCACGATTGGATTACGTGTATCCTAATCACATTTTTTTAATAGTTAGCAATGAATCATTTGAAAATTCCCGAAAGAAAAAGTAACAGATTTCTTGAACTAACTTCAATGAATTCCGCTATTGTAATAACATCCAGATAGCCTGCACGAGCAAAAGACCTACCACCGCTGTGCCACACTATATTGGGGTAACTGCAAAAATGTAATTTTAAAATAATTAAAAAAAATGACAAGTGCGCAGCAAAATTCGGAGATGGTCATTGGTCATAAACACTCACTACCGGTCAAATACATTCTTTCCACTAATTTATAAAAATCATAAGCTTGAAAATGATTGTAAAAACCTCGTTCACTATAGAAATTTATAAGGAAAGAAAACACACAGTTTCTGCATCACTCTAAAACTTACGCATTAGTATTCGTTTTTCTACAAATGTCACCATGTTGATCACAATCAATAGTCCCAATTTTTATATTTTTCACATAGTTATGCAGTCTTCTTAACTCGTTGAGCAAACGTAAACAAGGTGGACACCACTGCAAGTAAAATACACAAGCTGGAGAGACAAGAATTGATAAACCAATAAAAAATAATAAGTAGCTTACTGGAGCATAGTAATCGATGAGCCATTCATCACCGGAATCGATAGCAGATTTATAGGTTTCGGGCGTAAGAGTAACAAGTGGTGAAGAATGACTTTCCATAGCAAATAGAGCAATATCATGCACCGTTTCCATCTTGCCTGCGTTAAAATAAGAATTATTAAAAAACTCCAAGTCTAATTCTGAATGCAGCCCTCGACTAAAACACTTAATATTTTCGTTAAGGATAAAACAAATGCCATAATAGAAAGACACAGAGAAAATTATTTGTATGATGCAGTAAAAACAAACCATGATATATTTCATAGCTTCCTTGTTTTTTGAACAGAACCCATTTTGGAAGTTTATTCAGCTTCAAGTTCTCACATATAACCCTTGCTTTGGAACAATCAGCAAAATACACCTATATAGAAATAAAAACTTTACGACATGAGAATAGATGAAACAAAGCATATTTAAATGATCATTTCAACAAGTTTCGCTCACTAAAACTGTTCGATTTTTGCAATGAAATGAACATAACAGAAAGTATTAATTTAGCAGAGCTCCTAAAAATTTGCTAAGCAATGCTGCTTAATCGCTTAATTATTAGCTCAGTTTCAACAATTATAAAAGTCTTTTTACAATGAAGAGTTCAGTTAACGTCATGCTAAAATATATATTGGTAAGCTAGTGAAATACATCTAAGATATCTATTTTTTTCAAAAAGTTACTTTAATTTCCCCAGTTATCATTTTCGTTGATAGTTTTTTTAACTCTGTATTGCTATCTACTTCACCGGAACTAAATCTAACCAGAAATGAATGGTCGCGAATTTGAGCTGAAAAACAGAACAGAACAAGTATGAGCAACAAAGGAAATAATGAAATGGAAACAATCAAAACAGTCAAAAAAGGAAACAAAAATTCAAAAAAAGTTTGTTCAAGCTTCACCTTCAACAATTCCCTCCAATAATTTATCAATATAAGGTATATCAGGAACATATGTCAAAACGGCAGCCGCTATTTCTTTGAAGTCGAGACTATTAATCTCCTAAATTGATTTCAGCGATGAAAATTTTTCTCATGAATAATATATGTGCAGAAAAATCAGTTTGATTTCAGTATATTTAAAAACCGAACTGAGAACTTATAGATTCAAAAAATAAATGCAACACACCCGTGCATCATCGGGTTCTCTTCCATCATCAGGTCGGAAATACACCACTCCATTTCTGCGGTTAAACAATGTGCACAATTTCACTGATTCGTCGCAATCAATTTTCGCAACGTTTACAAGACCATGCAAATTTGCTGCAAGTTTTTTCCTGAAAACATAATTTGTTTTTATTTTGTGATAAAATGTACAAAACCGTACTGATTAGATTAGGAATAGATTAAAAGTAAACAATGTGTTTTAACTAAAAATAAACTTTAAAAGGAAAAATGACGGAAATTCCGTAAGCAGCATTTTTATCTAGTATTTTCTACACATGACGGAGAGGATTTACTGGCCATCATCAACCAAATTATGCTGAGATTGACCACTGATGTACGAAGGCAAGACTTTTCAGATCCAAAAAAAGTGCTGTCATTTCAATCATAGAAAACTTCATAGAGTTGGAAAATAACACAACCTGTTCAATTCCGATAAACAATCAGTACTCCGACGTTCACAAAAATCCAGTAACCATCCACGTGCATCTTTCCTACTTTCTTTGAGCTTAAATAAGTCAGTGTCGGAATCCATCAACTGCAGTACAATACCAGTAACGTATTTCATGGCAAATGTTACTATCTGATTCAGTTGTCGTTGTCCGTGGAAAAATGACGCTGAAAGAAACATGTTGGAATAAATGATTAACAAATAAGTAATATATTCTCTCATTTTCGATAAAAATCAATTTCGTAGGTTAAAGATGGTTAAAATCGTTTAAATTATGCAAAAAGTTGCAGCGAAAGAAAATTCCTTGTTCATTATATCAACTTTTTCGTGCTGACCTTGATCCTATTTCTTGAAGAAACGATTTTTTCCAAATAAAAGTTTCCTGCAAAAAGATGTCAAAACAGTCCGATGATATAAGACTGAAGCGCATGCATGTCAACCTAATTAAAAGTCAGTCTAACAAATAATGTTAATTAATAATACATAGGCGAAAGACAAAAAACAAAAAATGCGCGGAAACTCACATGTGGATAAATTACCAAACTTGGGTAACCCGTCACACCTTCTGAATGGCAAAGCATAGGATCTTCAGCACAATTTACAGCACCTATCCGCAGAACATCTTCCATTTCTTGAGCAAATTTTCGCCACTAAAAAGTTAATATCCTAGCCAGATTTTCCAAAAAAAAAAAAAAAAAAAAAAAAAGGAAAAAACAGAACTTACAGTAGGTGCTAGCTGGTGACAATGTGAACAAAATGTAGAATAGAAATTGATGAACCATATTTCATTCGTTTCAGAGACTGTCCTTTCGAAATCCGATCGTGATAATGTTATTATTTCTCTATCCTCATCGTATATACCTAAAATAGAGTTGAGAAATAAAAAAAAAAGGAATGAGATGTCCCAAGAAATCGAACTGAAAGAAAAAAAAACCTAAATGTCTCTTATTTAAAAAATACAAATTTCGAATTGATAAGTTAATTTCAATTTTATATTGAAATAAAAAATAATTCGTATACTTCTTACTCTCCCTAAAATTTTCGTGTGTTTTTTTTTTTTTTTTTGATCCAGTAGCAATAGTTATATGTTGCAACTAAATTATTTTAATCACATAAAATGTTTAAAAAGAATTCCATTGATTACTCTAAATATCTGTTGTTGCAATGTAAAATCATAACTAATTTACCAGTTCGAAATTTACGGTTTTTAAATACGAAACATTTAAACTTTATTTTTTTCTTTCAATCCAATTCCTTTTTCTACACCTTTTATTAAAATCGATTCTGCTGAAATATTCACTAAAATGTTTAAAGATACATACCAAAGTTATCTTTATAAAATTGCCAAGGCTGGTACTGATGGTTTTCTTTAAAGTTATCGTTTAAACCTTTTTCACCATGCTGATCATATATTTTTCGCATTTCTTCATCCATTAACACTTCATAAGCACGATAAAGCTTCATGAATTCTTTATGTGCATTGTTATCATTCTCAAAGTACAAGTAAAGTATTAATAACTGATAAAATTACTATCAAATGAAACAGCGGACAATTTTAAACAGTTGGTCTTAAATCCAAATTTTGTTTCCCTTCCGCAACCTTATTAAGGCTTATTTACATCAGGAACACAACTCAGCGATTTTGATACAATTTCTCATGATTGCACACCTATATCTTTTGGAAAATTCAAGGCGAAGAAAACTCACAGGATTTTTATCTGGATGTTTGACCAGAACTAGCTTCTTGAAAGCTCTTCTAATTGCTCTATTATCAGCCTCCCGAGATATCCCAAGCAAGCGGTAGAAATCTTCACAACTGATACAACAAATTAACAGAAGAAAACAAAACTGTGAGAAAAATATGAGACGCATTACCATGGGTAGTTTCTATTTCTACAAAAAGCACCTGAAATAAAGAAATTACTTAAATTGTGCTTCGAATACATTTCCTTAATAAACTATAAAAATAAGAAATAAAAGCAAAAATACCGTGGAGAACCTAAACGTCTAAAAAAAATAAAAGTCCATATTAATTACTCTTGTTTCAGTTTTTTTTTCTTTTTCTTAAGGTTGAAATGTTAAGCACAACTGAGAATTTCAAAATCAAGCTGTTGAGTGATTTTTTTTTTTGGATACGATTTTTTTTTTGAAAAACATTAAAAAATACCTTTGTGGGAAAACACTAATTAGCTTGAAAGACGAGGAAAATCACTGCAGTTTTTACATAACACTTCATTGTACACCTGGAATGAAAAGCAATACATAAACGCCTATTTATTTCTTACCTGAACACAGGTAAGACACGTGCTATGTTGGCATGAACAACGTAATGCATATACAGACAATCCTCAAATGCCACTAACATTTCAAACATAGAAGAATAGCCCACGATAGTGTTTCTCTTGGAAATTACCGCAGGATTTAATGAACATTTCAATATCTAGAATAATGAACTGTCATATTCCTTATTCATACCTATTGCAAATTGTAGTGTATCCGGCATAAGATGACTGGAAGATTTGTTCCTCAAATATTATCGTTAAAATAAAAAACAACGCAAAATTCGTATTTATATATCTATTTTACAAATAAATCACTAATCAAGAGTGTTAATCTGAGGGGTTTCAGGATAACCTAACCACATCATAGAACTAAAGGAATTCACAGCGACACATCACACAAAACAGAGTAATTCAGTCGGAATATTACTGATCTAGTTCAATACACTAATTGAAATTATGACATAATGAAAGGAGACGATACAAAGTCCAGAGATACGACACGAGCGAATAATGGAGGAGAGATGACAGACAGAAAAGACCGTGAGTGAGACTATTTGCTTATTCTGAAATGACAGTTGAGGAGAAACAGCTGGAAATTGCGAGTTTCTCGAAGTGCGCAAGTGCTGATAGCAATTCACAGAGGAAATTTTGCAGCTACAACGAGAAATGAGGGCAAGATGATTAACTTAGTGGAACTTTTTGTGTATAATCTCGAATCCTACAAGACAAACTTTAGCAACTTATGCAGTAGTACAACGCAGAACATTTCTTTTGTTGTTAATGCCTGCAACCCTTTTATGATATATCAATATGTTGTTTGCAGCATATACGATAATTCTGTGCAGCTTAATATTGCTTTGAGTCAGTCATCGCACATGAAAATGATGTTAATATGTTGAAATGGATTGGCAGCTTAACGCGGATGTTCAGTTCTCATTTCCACATTTTATAATTTCGATAAATTTTAGACTTTTACTCACTTTTTTGATTATTATGGCAATTATCGCGAATCATGGCTATTTACTTTTTTCTGTACGCTTTGTGCTCAACCAAATTACACCAGTTAGAATCTTCAGATTTCATGAAATTTTACCGTTAACATTCATGCAAAAGGACAACTTCGAGAAATTTTTATCAATTTCGAAGTCTTTTCCCAAAAATTTCAAATTTCGTTCTTTTCAAGTAAACAACGAAAAGCTTACATAAGATAGCTAACATGAACTTTCCACAGCTTATGGAATCTTATTTTGATTCTTACTGATCCAACATTAAACACGAATTAACTACATAACATCCGCTCATTTTTACGTTTACCTCATTTCATTAGTGAAAGAAAACTTTCAGCTGATGTTCATCTAGCTACTTGCTTATGGAATCAACCAGCGAATATTATATGAAAAGAATCTGGGCCTTAATGTTATTTTTGATACCGCACTAACTAAGTTCATGATTGATTCTTTTAACTTAAAGTGACCAAAAATTTTGCTTTTCAAGGATAACTCCGATCTTTTCTAAACTTTTCTATTTAATGATTGAAAGCACTCCGAGCGTAAAAATAAAAATATCTGCAATCTCAAATAGACGCAAACATAAACATCAATCACATAAAGCTGATCTGAACAGTATACGAAGACATACTGAAAAGTAATTTTAGTAAAAAAAAAAACTAATAAAAAAAAGTAACTTCGGTAAAAACATTTTTCCATAACCAAAATGACACAGGATATGTGTAAAAGTAAAGCAAAACATAACATTTGTCTTATTCAAAATTTAGAAAGGAAAAATCGGAACAAGTGAAGACAACCTCTCATACTAGTATATTTTTTTAAAAAAATTTATGGTTTATAAACAAATTTCAAGGGATATCCCTTTTAGTGCAATACACAGAAATCAATTAGATGGAATTAGAATAACAAACAAAACAATAACATCATAACGAGAAGCTTAAATAAATGAAGAGATATACAAAGAAAAGACCAAACAACTAAAATTCCATTTCTTCTAGAGAATATAATTACTTTAAAAAGTTTTTGAAGATAATTAATAAAATTTCTTTTCCAAAAAACTGGAACTTAAGTACATCTGCTAAATATTAGAATTGAGAATAACGGGTATGGAAATTCTGCGTAAACAGCATTAAAAAAAAACGTAATTGCCATGACATTTCAGATTAAACTTGGCTTGAAGATCAGGAAATAGCTGAGGACTCCTTCTTCATTTTTTCGCTTTTTTGCCCAAACTCGGCCCTCGTTTTTTCAGATTATTTTTCTCTTCATTTTTCCTTTTTATTGTTTCAGAGGTAACTACTTTACTCACCGAAAAAAATGAGTCAATACGGGCTTGTTGTGCAGCTTGACGTCCTTTCTGCATTCTGGTTAAACTACCTCTCACTCTGTCCTCACTGAAAAATTTGCAAATCTAATGAATCTTGAATGAACGAACGAAATCTTCGCAAAATTTTCTAAGAAAATCAAAAAGTAAAATTGATAAACTTACTTAAAACTTTTTTCAACACATAGAAATTGTACAATTCCTTCGACATCAGGTTCTTTCCAAACTAACTGAAATTATCTCTTTTTATTCAAACTGATTTGAAAAAATTTTCTTCATAACATTTCTATTTACCTCGAGATTTTCACAGTTCATGACATCCGGTTCCAAGAATAGTCGCCGTGCTTCCTTGTATTGCCAGTCTTGGGGTATTGGATATTTCTGAAAACACACCTCGATTTATCAGTATGTAACAATCTGAAAAATAATTTAAAAACAATTTCAACACATACGTAAACAAAGACCTACAAACCGTTTGATTAATTGTTTCAAGAACATTTTCTATGCATTCATACTTCTTGATAAGTTCAAATGCTTTTTTTGGACCAATGCCCCGAATTGTTGATACATAATCACAACCCAGCAATATACAGAGATCTACAAATTGTCCCATATTCATCCCGAAATCTTTCAAAACTTGATTTAAATTCATTTCCTTCACTGGCAGTTTTTTAGCTTCGCTGAAATAAAAAGCTTAAAAACCATTAAAAATTTAACTAAACATTTACTGAATTTAAGATGATAAAGAAAAGGTAACTGTGAACTGCATGAGATTACCTTATTAAAATTCTGAAGTTAGAATAACACGGCTTGTAGTTACAAGAAATACCAGGCAATCACGGTGGCATAATAGCATCTGATTAATATAATAGGCAACTATATTTCAACAAAAATTCATGCTTGAATAGTTGTAAATTATACAGGATGCCAAATCAGATAAAAATTTGGTAGATTGTTGCTAAGGAATTGATATTTCTATTCCGAATGACATTATTTGGCTTCAATTAGCACAGGCTAGCACATTTCAACGAACTCCAGCCATTCTGCGAATCATTTTTGGCTAACCTTGCTATCATTTGACGCAAAAGAATGGGTGAACCAAAAGTCAGTGCATCCATATCTTCAGAAACCGTAGCAAACACTTTACCAGCTTTCGCAAGAGCAGCACATTGAGCTTCTGCTTCGCATGGTGCATCCAGGACTGGAATTCCCATCAACGTTACTAGCCGTTTAGCTTCTTCACTTTGTTCTTTTGTAACCTTCAAATTTCAGAAAACTTGACCAAAACAGCACTACACAACAAAATAATTTTCATGTATGCTTCCTAGGCATTACAGAAAGTAAAAAGCAACAAATACTTTTCAAATTACAAAGCAATAAATTGAAAATCCAAAAAAAATCTAATGCTGCAAATTCCCAATTTACTGGATATAATTTATAGTGTATGAAATAAACACTTTCTAATGGTAATAACACAGAAAGAACATACTTGCAGTACAAGAAAAATTTTTAATGAACTACTACTTTCATTCGGTTTCTATCCTTGTTTAACTATCTAAAAGGAACTGTGGATAAAACGAAAAAGTTCTGAAAGTGAAACAAAGAACAGAATATGGCACAATAATCCAAGTAAACATTCTTCTTCTTGAAGAATTTGAAACGTAAAAGTGATAACCTTTACAAGACGTCTCTCAAATTTGTTAACGGACGTCTCGTCTCCCAGTTCGACTGCATCATTTCGTTGTTTTTCTGCTTCGGTTCTTCGCTCGGTACGTTTCTCCAATTCACTTGTTTTCATCTGCGGTGGCTTGCCGTCAAATACATATACTGGTTTTATTCCGTTATCAATCATTCGAATAGTTCGATAAAACATGCCAAGCAAATGACTTGAAAAAAGATCGAGTCATCCTTAATACTTTCGCATATAATGTTTTGCTCCAGATGAATTAGCAATTAAATGGGACACTGATTTGTTGCAAACTATTTCTTCTTCAAAGAAATAACTATAATCAAACTTAAAAATTGCCTGTGTTTATGCTGCAAAGTTCACTTTAGCTTTATTTACTAAGAAAATGCTTTTGCTTCTCGGACTACATTTCAAAGTATTACCAAGAATTTGGAACCAATACGAGCAAGCTGGTGGATTATTGTGCGGAATCAAACCATTTATTACATTGGCAAGATTTCACGTAACGGTGTATAGTGAGGTGTAAACACATGAGCACTAATATTCGACAAGGTGCCTCATCGTCATCTTAGAGATCCAGCTTTTTACAACTATAAGTATTATTAATTAATCACCTCGTTGTTTCGCCGCTTTCGGTCTGAAGCTGTGATCCATCTTGTCGCACTGCAATGAGGAACTGATAGAGACACATTGATGCATCCACTGCTACTTTTCGACCAAAATATCCTTTAAATTCCTTAAGTCGTATACTATTTGGCGAATGGTCACCGATCACCTTTGACAGATCCTTCACACCCATTGCTGCAAATGTTAATTAAGAAAAATCACTCGTTGAGCTATTACACTATAAAGAAAGAGGTCATTCTCAAGATCGATAAAAGCATTCTAGGACTGGCATATGAATCAACCGATCAATCAATCACTTAGTGTGCTTAATCCTTCAATGTTCGTTTCCCGGATGCTAATCTTTGAGCCATATCGGGAACAAATCACCGCTCAATGGCATGTACTCAACACCACTGCAACCTAAATAAATTCATTTCAAAAAACCGCCAACCGATTTTTGTGTTGTAGCGCTTTCCGTGATTCCTCGCTGCATCAATGAAGGGAGGGGGAGTGGATCAGAGAGGAGGGGTTGACAAAGTGGATAGAGGAGGGTATTTATCAAGATTGGAGTGTTTGGCATGTTTGAAGTATGCTTGTCGTTGTAAGTTATGTCGGTCGCGTGTGCTTCCATCTATTGTGTATTTGGAGTTGTGTAGATGGACTGTTTCGTTCATTTTTACCATTTTAAAATATTCCCTGAAGGCTTCGATGATATCTTCAAATACTATGGAAAATTCGATGATTGATGATCACTTTAGTGAAGAGGATTTTGACGCAATATCTTGTTGGTATTTTTGCTTAAAAATTTTTTTTTGGATATCACTTCAAACTTGCTGAATTTTTAACTAAAAAATGTATTGTAAAGTTTTAAAATTTTTTCTGGTGCTATAGGTGTAGGTTACTTTATCTTCCAAAGTGTAATTCACTCCACTTTTGTAGCTGAATGTCTCCCAAACATGATTTTGACGCGGATTACAATGACAAGTCAAGTCCTGGCAAATTAGTTTCATTTTTAGAAATGAAGTGAAAGAACTTTAGTTTTTAATCGTTTTAGACGTTCGGGACCAGTTAAAGGGTATGAAAAGTGGCGATGAAACACGACAGTTGCAAGCATTTCACGCTAGATTAAATGTAGCTAATGCACAATCATCGGAATTAGTGAAGAAGAGTGTCTTTTTGAATTATAAAAAGTTCATCGATACTGCCAGAGAAGTTTCATGTTACGTTTCTTCATAGAGTTGAATATATCCTTTTCCTTTTCAGCACTATATAGTTTTGCCGTTGATCCATTCCATTAATACTCTCCCAAATACGTAAGGTTAAAAAGATTTCTTTGTGCTTTTTCTACAATAGATTTTGCTGACGATTTTGGTAACAAATGTCTAAACAATACGAGCCCTGGAACCTTTTTTCATCTGTTAACCGATTAGTTATGTAATTATATAACTCTCTGAACTTTTTAATTTCGTAGACTTTTTTAATCGTTTTGTAAAATTTAAGCATGTTTTGTCATTTCAAAGTGATCAAAAGAATTTAAAATATTGCATACGAATACGGTTCATTAACCAAATACAAATATAAATCCACAATTTCAGTTGTATTATATTTCTATTCAAAATTTCTTTATTCTTTTGCTTCTTTTTTCTTTTTTTACTAACTTTTCTTGTATAAGCTTTTTTTTTTTTTTTTTTTATATTCTTTGCAAGCTTTTATTTCTTTTTAGATCTGGAACGGGAAATATATGAACTTTCATCACTGTTATCAGATCAACGGATGCTTATTGAAACACTGATGCAGATGACTGGGGAAGATCGTTCTTCCATTGGAACTGCCAGTCTTCACACTTCTTCATTCAGCGTTAACCCAATGAATGTATTGATGCAGAAAATGGACGGTATTGCTGTAGGTTTTCAATTATAAGTTTTGATAGTAGGCAGTACTTTCAAAGCAACAGTGATATATCTCTCTTTATGGCTTATTTCCACTTACTTGCAACTTGTCCCTTGCAGTCTATGTTAAATAATTTACCAACTTCTGATCGAGTAATCATGCACGGTGAAGTAGTTCAGTTGGACAGCGACAACATGCGGCCACAACACAATGTAATGCTTATTTTGTTATCAGACCGACTACTCATTGGACAACCATCTTCAGGTTATATTTCTTCATGTGTTCTGGTTTGTAAAATTTCATCGGTTATTTTCATTTATATGTGGTATCATATATGGTTTAAGAAATGTTATTATTTTAGGAAAATATCGTTTTCAGTTGGAATCTTCACATCCGTTGAATAATATAGCAGCTGTTAATATCAAGGATAGAGAAAATGGCGAAACTGTGACCAGCATGTTTAAGTTATTGATTTTTCCAGGACAAAGGTATTTTGTCTATATGGAGGTATTCTATCAATAAGGTACCACAAAAATACATGGTTAAGAGAAAATATGTATACTAGAGGAGTTGAAAGAGGAACTAAACTCAGTTAAATTTGGGAACACGTATTTTCTTTCAATACGCTTCATCCTCAAGTATATAAGACTACGTCAAGAAATTAATTTAATCTTGAAGAAACATTCCCAAACAGGTTTTTTCTTGCTGAAAATGCCCGAATTAAAAAAGAATGGTTGGACTGCATCGAGAATGCCAAAAGAGAACTCCTTCATGAGGGATCATTAGTACGTCAAGCAACAATCCGTGGGAAACGTCGACATGACCTGTCAGCGAAGATGGAATTAGGTAATCAATTTATGCCGGTTGCGGAGTCGGTTGCTATTAAATCACCTGATGAAAGTGCATGGCTCAATGAATTGCCTGCAGAATTGGATGATTGCATTGCTCATCGAGATATGGAACACGCGGTACTTTTCGAAGTTCAATTCATAAGAAAATATTTGAATTCTTAGAGAAGCTTGTGGTCGAAGTGGGATAAAACTCTGATTCGGAGAAGTATGGACTTTGAAATTAAAGGATCGAACAAATCTGTATTTTAGGTAGAGTTGATAATGGAATGGAAAAGTTGCAACACAAAAGAAGCAACAATTGATGCACAGCTGATACTTCGTGAAACCCAAATTGTGCAGTTACTTAGCGAAGAGGCAAGGTGATTTTATTAACACGAAAATGATTTTTCAACAATGACAATGGAACCCTTGAAATGCTTTTGGAAAGTTGATATAGTGAGGTTTATTTTTATAACTCAATTTTATGTTTTATTAGTGCAGGTTCGTCGTCCAGGTGCTTTACATGGTGGTCCTCGAGCTATCAAGAAAGCAATCAATCTTTTAACGATTCTTGGCCGAGCTTCACAAGCAGTTGACCTTTACTTGAAAAAAAGGAGCACAGTGGTTAGTTACTTGTTTGTGTTTTTTTTTTTTTTTTTTTCTTCGGGTATGAGATGATGAAGAATGGCAATGGACATTTAAAGTTTTTTGAATACTGTTACTTCAAATGTATGAGTAAGTGCATTTTTTCTTACGATTGGAAAACCTTTGTTAGACTGTTTAAAGATTAGAAAATCTACGGAATAAGAGCTGTTCATATAATTTATTTAATGCCCGATTTCTATCCATTTCTTTTAATGTTCGATTCCTATCCAATAGGACTTTCCGTTGATATAAAGCATAGCTTTCGGCTTTTACAGTTGATTTTGACTGGCACTTTTACGATGGTGTTTCCTATATTGGATAATCATTTGTCATTGTCGCACTAACACGTGATTGAAAATGATTGGCATTGGAAGTTTCAGTTTTAAGATAAGATATAGAGATTTTTAATGATAGAATTCACTGCCGTTCTTATAAAATCACGAAATTTCCTGAATTATGAAAGTATCATAAGTCAAGTTTGAAATTGCCAACTTTCTCACTGCGGATGATACTTTTTCATAAATTCTTCTTTTTGATTCATTTTTAGCTGCGGACAACTACTCGAGAATTGACAATGAGTGAAGAACCATTGTCGTATGTACGACAGTTATCACAACAATTTTTAGATGTTATATCAGATGTTGTTAAGGAATTCTTGATGCAACCTGAACACTTTTCTCTTATATTGCATTGGTGTTCTGGTGAATTAAGTGTTATGCTGTCTTTAATACGAAAACATGTTATCGAGGTATATAATCAATGAAACATTAATCGGTTTGGAAGGGCTTTTATCACTATGGAATTTGTTTTAAAAGAAGAAAATTATCATTCTGCCAGTTTGTGTGCATGCAAGATTTATTTCAATAAAGTTCTGAAAAGAGGAAAATTCTAGAAATCTTTTTTTTTTTGTTTTTTCTAGGTGGCACCAACAATGGCAGTGCTTGCACATACTTGGCGAATATTGATGATGCATTGCGATAATTTAATTACAGTTGGTGTTGATTTGTCTTTTGAAGTACATCGTCTGCTTGCACCATCACTTAAGATTGCAATTGAAACAAATTTTAGCAACATAATCGAATCAGTTCGTCTTCGAGTTTCTGTATGTTCTATAATATCTTAGGAAACTTTCTTGCTTTCGTAGCGGTGAGACTTTACTGGAGTATAATTACCATCAGTCGAGAATGGATTGCATTAGTTTAAGTTATTGCTTTCTGAATTTCAAAGTTGTCGATTTTTAAATCTTAATTTTTTTGTGACCCTAATATAATGTTCCATATGTTTGCCAAAGAATTAAATTTTTCTCCCAAAGTTGTTCCTGTAAAATTCACAATATATTATAGATACTTTGTGCAGTTCCTTAAGCTCCTTCATAAACATTTTTAGGAAGAGCGTTGGAAAGCATACCATATGGAAAGTGAATCGAATGTGAATCGTTTTATAGAGGAAATGTCTGATATGGGACTGTCAGTTGATTGGGCACTGTCTACCACGCAGTGTTCTTCCATTAATATTACCCAGAATGCCTGCCACTTTTCTCGGGTTGCCTTTATGTTGGCTCGCGACCTTGCAATGATAAGGTTATTAAAATGAAAAGAATTTGAACTGTTTCTGTAATGTCGAGATTTTTTCGACTTTGTAATGTTGTTCTTATAACTGTCGAAATCATTCCTTGCATATATTTGACATTCAAGGAAGAGATGTAGTACAGGTTTTATAAGGAAATGACAATATTTCTCTAGATCTTCACATTTACGCTATCTCACTGACTCCTTCATGGTGAAGCTTTGGAGTGAATATTTAAATCATTTGAAAAGTGCGCCGCAATCGTCTTTGCAACAATATACATCAGTATTTGTTATTTCTCAAGTCAGCGATATTTTTCTTTCTTCGGTTATATTTTTTCACTGCATGGATTCTGGTTCAATCAAAATGTTTTCAAATCACTGGAAATAGAAAAAAATTTTTTCTGCAGTTTTTAGTACCTTAATTTCATACGCATCCATATTTGAAAATTTTTTCAAATTTTTATGAAATTTTTCTGAAAAAAAATTTCTGAAAAAAAAATATACCAAAATCGACTCCTTACGAATTTACAAATCCAGCATTTCTGAGAAATTATCCATATTATATCGAAAATTTCCTTGTTCCTTCCATTATATATATTACAACAATGCTTTATGCGCTGATGTTTATAATTTTTTGATGCGAGACTGTTCCTTCATTTGATCTCATTAAAAGCTGTAGCGTATATTATTTACCAACGATTACTCTCGATAAATTGTAATCAGCAACCAAAAATAGCATCTAAAACTCTTATTTTTCGTAATATTTAACGAAAGGAGTAGGTTAAAAAAATAATTATTTTACCTACTATCAAATTCAATTAATAATTTTCACCAATTCTTTTCAGTTGTTGCCTCTCTGTGATGCAATCTACGATGAATCTGCACCAGGAATATTGTCCGAACTTTTGCAAACAAAATTTGGAATTTTATTACGGTATCGAGGGAATTTTCATGCGGCTTCTAGTGACGAAGACGTGGCACATATTTAGGATGCTAATTTATTGATATATTCATGATCAGTCTTTTGTTGTTTTAACGAAGGACATTTTTCCTTGCTTTTAATATCATTATAGATATTTTTGATAAGATTATCTAAAGTAAATATCTGATAAACATTTGAATATATATGTATATAAATTGTTTGAGCTTTGTTGCGAAATTTATTGCTTCCAAACCTTTTGTCGACTATAACTTCGGTATTCTGTAAAGAAACATTATCTTCCAGAAGAATTTAAGTAAAAGAAATTCTTGCTAAAATCTTATTTTTACAATACATCTTTTTCCAAATTATATGTTTTCCAAATTGCATGGTTGATAAGTGTTTTAGGTCAGTTCTTTTGACTTGACTTCAAATCTAGTTCGCTTAGCTGTAGAAAAGTTGGGTTCTCGCTGGGAATCGTGTGGATGATATGTTTTCTGTGCCAATCTTTTTTTGTCTTTTTACTTTTATCAACAGCAAGATACAACGAAACGCCTGATTTCTGTTGTCTTTGGTTGCTTATTTGTTTGTTAACTTATTAGCATATTCATTCCAACTGAATGAGTAACTAGTATTTCATTTATTCAATAATTATTTAGATGTATTGCATACATTGAAATATAATTCGTATACATCAGAGTTCTTGGTAATTGATGCATGTTTGACTCTATGTAAGCGTCTTACAATGAGATGCAGAATTTGTTGAGTACTGCATTTGCATACTTCTTTGTTTCCTGATGTAATCAGGTTTTCTCCGACTCCTGCGAAAGGTTTATACTATTCAGAAGTAAATAAGTAAATACTGAATATGTATTTTGCTATATCAAAATAGTTTCAGTCACTTTTGTGTATTAAAGTGCTGCTAGCTTGCACGCTGAAACACGACTTAACATGTATTCAGTCGTCGAAGGTACCAGAAATCTGGTAGATAAGGTGCGTCATCGTGTTATCAGTGGTACTTTTACTGGTAATCGTTCATCGTTTGGTTCCACAATAAATCTCGCGAATGAATGTGGCATTCCATCGAGAGCCAACTCAATGGGTTATACTGAACTAATGGAAGGTTCAGTGCCTTGTCCAAGTTGTAAGGGTTCTGGACGAATCCCGAAAGGTAGAATTTTATTTAATTTGCTGCTTAATGTATTGCTCTTCCTCTCTGAAAGTTTATTTGTTGGGAAATCGACATTTCATTTGAAACGAAATACTCGTAGTTTTTTTTTTTTCAGAATTAGAGGAAACATTGGTGGCTCTAATTCCAGTTAATGACGATCGTTTGAAACCGAAAAGAACGTATGTTACCATTTCTTATTGACAGTTTTCTGTTTAATTTTAGTTAAGATAGTTTAATTTCTAGTTTTATTTTAGTCCTCCATATAAGTGATTTTAATGTATACTGTGTTGCAGCTGGCTTTACGTTTTTTGCGTCGTTCTTGGCTGTCTCTCATTGGCAGGTGTTGTAATTTTCTTATTGGTACCACGCGCGATTTACCTAACTAGCACAAAGCCACCAGTTGAAATCATAACAGTTTTTGACCACATGAGTAATCATATCAGTTTTCATTTTATGGTAACTTTTAACTCCCTTTATTATTAAGTCTTGTAACTTTCATTTCTGTTAGTTTTAGCAAGTGAATATCTGAGAAATATTCCCTTTATGCTATTACCAGTTTACCATGTTTCATGCTGACTGATGGTGATAGAACTGTGTTATCATTAAATGAACTTTTGTAAAGTAATAATTCCATACGAGGTAATTGTTAGTTGCTCAAGACATGAGTAGTTCAAATCATTGTAACTCATTCACTTTTTTTTGAAGAATTTCATTACCGCAAAAAAATTTCATTGCGTTACATACTTGTACACATAACATGGATATGTCTGCTATACTCGTAAAATTTATATGTTTGTGAGAAATTTATTGTAGAACGAATTCAATATATCCAATGCAAATTACTATTCTGTAAAAGTGCTAAATTCATCGGCTACAGTCTTATCGAAATTTCAACCTTGGTCAACAGACGTCATTGGTGTTGGTGGCAACACCACTGATGTATTTGTTGGACCAAGAAATAGTCGAAAGTTGCAGTTCAACAATACAGTGACACTAAAAGGTGGTGTCGCGTAAGTTTGTTTTTCTAAAAGGGCTCATTATGAAGTTGATGATTAAATGCTGGCTTTTACATCAAATAATTTCAACATGTTGTGATGAACTTTGTTGTAAGAAATATTATTTAGATAGATGGAAAATGTAGATTTTTTTCTAGTTGTTGCACCAATTATATTTAGAAATAATTTCATACTTTGAAACGTCTTCTTAACAGTTCCTTCTTCTTTGCAGGGAATACTGTCAAGCGCCATTTGCGCAATTGACTTCGCTCTATGTTAATATGCAGTTTGACATATCGGTTACATTGGAATATTTAAATCATCGTGAGCAGGCAACTCTCTCTGTTGTTCAACAAGTCTGTTGTGTGCCATCTGGCAACTGTACTGCTACTGAGTGGTGATAATGTATAGATTGATTTTTTGATATTTACGAAGAATTTGACTATTTTAATATTTTATTGCAGAATACTGCATTCCCATCTCTGTAATATAAATGAACTTCACCTTTTGTTATGTTCTTAGTATAGTTGTATTATATGTTACCTTTTAACAGCAGTTTTTCTCGAAATTTTCTATTTAGTTAGTGCACTTGAATTTCAGCAATTTTTATATTTACAGTGGTTCTGTTTTTTTTTCCTAATCATAGAAAGCTTTCTGATTGAAATTTGATATAATCGATGAAGTACTAAGTTGACAAGACGCTGACAAAAATTCATTCAGTTCTTCAGGGAATCTAAGTGTTGTGAACATCATCTGTCCACCATCGTTTTTTGAGATCATTTGTAGGAATTTAATATCCCGACGTTTACAATAAAGCTGTTCAGCTTAATCTTTGCTTAACTGGATAAATGTTCTCTATATGCATAGAAATTTCTATATGTTTTAAGAATTTAATCTATAACGAAATTTTATTGCAGAATACTGTGTGTTATTGAATAATTTGTGTCACTTCTTAATTCTTATTCTAATAATAATTTGAAAGTACTTGAAATACGTGCGACATATACGTTTATTTGTTAGCTTCCGTCTGCTTAATTGCACCAGTCTCTGTTTTAGTTTGTTTCTATTTTTATTGTCGAAGATGCTATTTTAACAATCGAGACCTAGAGCTCCTCCTGCAATTGTACCTCGATATGCTTCAGATGTAATCAAAGCTAAATTAATTTTAGTCGAATTAGTACAGAGAATTGTGGGACGTCAGATCTCTTCTTCATCAACAGCAAGCATCACTCCAAAATTTATTTCAGCAATTCTGCCTCAAGGAATCATTGTGGTAATGGGATGTGGAACACTATCACATCATAAATTGCACAGCTTTTCGTGTGTCAGAATTTACCGTGAATAACGGAGGGATGTACCAGTACAGTTTACTTGCACATTAATGTACGCAATAAAACATCGCGTTTCGTGTATACATATTTGAATGAAAAAGTCAAAATAATTTAAGTATAGAATACCGCAATTCAAAACTATGAAGCAAGACAGTAAATATGTGGCAACTCGGTACGGGATTTTCAAAATTCTAGTTCAGCATTTAAGACTGATCTTTATTTCTAAATAAGTAGTCCGAATTTTCAGGCTCCCAGTTTAAATTTTAGAAAGCGTATGCAGTACAGAAAACAGCAAAACAAATTTTTATTCTCTCAATAATTTATTCTCTCTCCAACCTGTAAAGTCCGAGCAGTTACTTTTTTAAAGACCGAAATTAGCAAAATACAGTCAGTCCAGTGAGCATCAGTACTGTGTCACTTCAGGTTATGTTACACTTATTACAAGACTGTCTTAATAACGAATATACAATGTATAATTATAGTTCATATTTCAGATGAACAAAACCGTTTGAAATTAATTCACCAACAAACACCTACTGCCTGCCTATTCTAAACACCGCTAATCAAAAGGCGTTTGCGTGATTTATCAAATCATTTTGGATTAAACAAAAAACGTTTCAGGGAAAACAAATAACATTATTATCGAAAGACATTTCACGTTTTCCTCATGCGTGCATACAATATTTGAAAAACAGGAGAAGACAGTGCACACGACACACGTTATCAATATACCGAACATTAGCACGAAAAATGGCTTTTTGAGAATTGCAAAGACTTCCGAAAATAGTGACAGGAAAATTGTTCTATTGTGGCAAATATCCCAGCAGAAATGACGCACGCACACTGAAACAACCACAGAATATTGAGACACATTGTCACAATGTTGATTTGAATTTCACATCAAATTAATCCACTTAATTGAAGAGATGAAACGAAGTATAATGAAAACTTATTAAACGTACAAAACACACTACAAATTATCAAATGTTGGAGAATTGCATGCTTTTAATATACAGTATAAAAAAACAAGAGAAATGAAACGACAAAACAATTTTATGACTACGCAAAACGACGAGATCGCAGGGACAAAACTACGCACGAAGATCAGTGCTTCGTATAAATAAGCTTCTTCAGGCTATGAGCTGATACTCCTTTTTGATATGTCGAAGCTAATTTTTGTGAAGTTTTGACAATTTCTATATAGTTCTACCCTAAATCTTATATTCTGCAAAATAACCAAACATGAGCTAATACGACTTTCAAAAAATAAAAAATGAGAAATAAAACTATGGAAAAATGAATTTTACATTTAAAACGATAATGCAATAATGACAAGGATAAAATACTGGGGACCTCATTAAGGCATAAATGTTCGGATTTTAGATGAAAGATGGCACTGCGCTATGGGAAAAATAATTTTTGAAACTGAGAGAAGGGCTAGACGAATCATTAACTCCAAGCAAAACTAATATTTGCCAACACTTACTAAAATTTAAGTTCCAACTTTTCATCTTTCAGTTATAAGAAAACCAATCTTAGTATAAAAAGTCAAGATACAAATAAAAAATAGCTGAAAGTGACATAAAAACTTAGTGAAATTATCTTAAAATTCCGGCAAATTATTGTACGATCTTCAAGTCCTGTAACTACACCGGTTTAAAAACATAAATGAAAACAACGGCGAATAAGATAAACAAAACAAAACAAAAAAAAAAAACACAAGTACGAAACATGACCTAATTTGAAAGTTGAGCGCGAACCGAACTCCCATTTGAACAGAATAGCACTGAACGGAAACATAGCATAACAAAGCTGTTTTTCACAGTGATCAAAAATGACTCGAACAAGTGGTAATTAGTTGGTACCATCGTTTCTATACAATTACGACGTTTTCGGCTGAAGCATAATCTTTATAATCGACGAAACAGAGATGACAGTAAGACGGCAGGTGGGCGTAGTTTAGAATTTAGAAATAATTCATTAGCGTGTTTTGAAAGAAACGATTCATTTTCATATAACTTTTCTCAATAAAATCTAAATGTATATATACATCGATAAAGACTGTGGATATCCAGAATCTAACAAAATTTCTCCTTACCTGCTGCTTCAACATTTGCTGCTGCCGAGCCACTGTGGCAGAAAAATTATTTTGAGCACTTTGTACACTGATATTAGCGAAAGGAGGTTGTGTTGGAGTGTTCCCACTACATCCAACAACAATACTACCGGGACCACCTACACGTCTTATATATGGACCCTGATACGCTGCTAAATTCATCATTATTATTGAAAATCACAAATTTCAAGATTTTTTGCTTATAATTTTTCATTCTATTAAATATATTACAAAAAGAGATCGATGCCGAAAAAATTAGCTAAAGGAACCTTATTATCTTATACACAAATATCAGATAAGAAAATGCATGAGCTAAAACGGAAAAGACAGAAATTTTGACAAAAAAAAAAATTACACTGAGTCGAACCAAATGTTGGGACGGTAATTTCATCTTCGTCATCATAAGACAATGCTTCCAGCGATAAATCTGCCTTACGGCGATTACGCCTTGCTGTCCCCGAAACTTTTGGAGAAGATCTCTGCGGCTGCTGCACATCAGTTATTGTCACTGCTGAAACCAACCCACCCGTTAGTCTTCGCTCGTCATCATTTGACTGCGATAGCGGAAGCACTCCATTGCATGATTGAACATATCCGCGTTCCTAAATTTGAAAAACAGATTAAAGTCATTTACCATCTGGCAACTTATAATGTATAAGAGGAAATACAAAAAAAAAAAAAAAAAACTACGAAGACTGCCAAAAAAGACAAAAAAAGTATGTATCTCAAATCTAATCTCTAAATCCAATGTTAAAATTTTTGGAGAATGCTGCACCATTGTGTCTTGAAATCAGTAATCGACAGTAATAAAGCTAACGCATAATGTTCAACTTTGAATTCACAAGTAACGTCTAAAAGAAAAAAGAACGTGTTAAAGTATTTTCTATCATAACTTGAAACACGTTTTGAAATTAATAAACTAAACCACTCACTTTTAACATGTTCAGTGATTCATGCCCGTTGGTCAAATGGTGATGTTCAGCTGTGTTGTTTGACCTTTGATCACCAATTCGATCACTAATTCTCTGGTCCTTCTGTTGTCTAGCAGATAGAGTGAGACCATGCATTTCGCTATTTCCACCTGAAATAAAAATTTAAACAGTCCAAAAATTATCTTGACAATGATTGAAACGTTAAGGTCAAAAAATAAAATATTACATATGAAAGATATCATTTGCCTTGAAAGCGAACCAAAATAACCCCAAACAATGAATATAAAAGAAAGATTATACATGATTCTTTTTCCAACAATTTTAAAGCTTAAAACAGCCAAAGAATTCCCTCTTTACAAGTTAAGGAAACAGTTAAAATTCGATAATTACGAAAATTGGTTAGCGAAAAAATACACATAAACCATACCGTGAAAACTTTCACGACTTGCAGAAACTAACTGCTGAGCAGAAACTGGCGTTTTACTTGATGGAAAGGCAGAATTCCCTGTCGCCTGACCATTATGAGAACCACTAGCTCCGACTCCTGAACCTTCTATTGCATCAGTGTTTGAAAACTGCTGAGCTGGAAAAACTTCGTGTAACTACACTCGAGTCATTTCAAATTCATTATCTCATCAAAAGCAAAATACTAAATTTCAACGTTATAAAAAATCTTATTTCCGTTTTCACTCTAACATACTTACGGATAGGCTTAGCTCAAACTCAGTTTACTGTCCTTTATAATCAAAATTGATAAGCATTTTTAAGATGACTTGAATTCAAAGATTTTTCCACATCATAAAAAATATTAGCTTTAGATGCTTATCTTTAATACAAAGAGCTTTAATACAAACCAAAGACAAAAACGAGATTAAACAAACATAAGCTCAAAAATAAGAATCTAACTTACATAAACCATTTCGCTCAATCTGCTAAGAAATAAAACTAACCTTGTTGAGAGCTCTGAAATTGCCCAGGTTGATGTTTGATTGCATTCACCGGTCTCATACTGTTGTTAACGTTGTTACCCATCATTTTTCCTACATGAATAGAGGGATTCAGATCTTTTAACTGATATGCACACTTTACGACGATTTTACACATTACCCCGGCAAAAGCAAATCTCTAAAAGCTCACTTACTAAGAAGAGTTGAATTTAGAATCAAATTAACAAGCAACAATCAAATGTACAAATGAAAAACGAAATACACACTGTCACTAGTCCCAGTCTGTTCAGCCGTCGAAGACTGAATATTTGTTGATAAACGATTCCGTGATCCACGAAAATAATTCGAAATGCTTGTCGAGGAAAAGCTGTCTTGATCGGAAAGTGCTCGCATAACTACTGCATCTAAATGGGATAATTTCAAAGTATTATCGAAGACATAGATTTACTAAAAATATACCGAGATAGGTAAAAGGACAAAATTCTTGCAATTAAAAAGATGAAAAGCACGATAAGCATTAATGTGGGTTCTTCTTGAAACATTGAAAAAGTGCCTTCTGATTAAGTAGTTAATAGATTAATGCAGATCCAGATCGGTTTCAATAGCTGCAAATTTTCTCTGACAGAGAAAATTTGCAGCTTTTAGATTTCTAATTCTTATTCAACTTTCAAAGATAACGTGAAAAGATTTCATAGATACCTATAGTAGAGTTGATCGGATCTTTGTCATATTCAATCGAAGCAACGTTCGAATCAGTAGTTGATGCTCGTGGTGTTGCTTCACCATCTGAAAACATTCCTGAATTCACCTAAATATTTCTATGCCAATTTCAGTCGTTGTTTTAGCTATGTATTTTTAAATCGCTGAAAAAGAAAATAAATCATTTTCAAACTTATAGACAAAAAACGTCTGCAGTACCAAAAAAATTGGAGATGTACATATTCGATTTTAATAAAACAAGGAGCCTTATCACCACTGTAATACAGCCAATATGACCCTATTGCAGATAAACAGCATTTAATGATTTTTAATCTAAAGAAGGGAACTCATTTTCTAAAAATTTAGTAACGCGGTCACTATCTGACCACTTTAGTCTGAGTTCATTTCATAGTATATGGAACGTCCAATCGCACCAATGGCATCTATAAATGCAAATGAATTAATAAGTAAATGGACCTGATCGCGATGATCGTAAATCATCAATTCGCCCACAAGTTGGATGCAGTTGTGACTGTGAATGAACAGTTGGTGGAGCACTAAGTGGTGTACGAATAGACTGTTGCTGCGACAATGGTGATGCTGCATACTGTTGGTGTGTTACCGCAATATGTCTCGGCTGCTGCTGTCGGGCAGTAAAGTTGCTGCTATCTTTTTGGGGTGATGATCGAGGAGTATAAGGACTTGGAGAACAACTTGGTTGTGGTGGTGGGCTCATAAATAAATTGGTTGCCCCTTGTGGTGGCTGCTGTTGATGCTGTGGAGATGAATAACCCCGAGAAAGTGATTGTTGTTGCTGAGAGAGACCGAGAGTACTCGGAAAACTACACTGCCGCATTTGAGTTTCACTACACATTTGTCTCATGTAACCAACACTTTGATGCTGCATTGGTGATTGGATGTCATACCGATTTTGAGGAGGCAACATACGACTGTAGTACTGTTGTTGTTGTTGGTGGTGGTGATGCTGCATATGTTGCTGAGTATTTGCTGGCCGCTGTTGCATTTGCTGTTGATGGGAAGCCATCAACGTTGCCCCAAATTCGCTCGATTCGGTCATTGGTTCAATAGAATCCAAATCATTGTAATCACCACCTAAAAATGGGATGTCCTATTAGCAACTGCAATATGTTAATCGATATTGGCTTAACTTTGGCTTTATTAAATTTGTATTTATAGAATTAAGGATTTGCATTTCTAAAAGTTAAAACAATGCCAAAGTGAAAAGTCTATAAACACTAACTGAGAACTTACAGTCATCAGCAATATTAGCACCCAGTTCATCATCCATTTCAAAATCACCTCCACTTTGTAACACTGGCAAGCAGCTCTTTGGCTGCATATCTAGACACTGCTGTTCTGCAGAGAACGGAGGCTGCTGTTGCTGCGATTCCTGCATTTGCATTGGTATTGTTTGCTGTTGTTGAGGTCGTGCAGGTACACTTACTTGCTGCTGTGATGGTGAAGACTGCGAATAAGTTAAAGCAGATGGAGGTGTTTGTTGATTTGGTGGCTGCTGGTAGGTCATATTTGGCTGAAATCATAATTAAGCTTGGTTGGAACCTTAACTTCACCAAAAACCGTAGAGTGAAAGTTGCTAAACAAATAAAAATTATGCAGTTCATGAAAATACTAAACTTACTTGTTGTTGCTGATATAGTGGCGACATCGTGCTGCTAGACTGTGATGCTGGCGAATAGTCAATTGACGCATTCCGACTAGTCATAGGAGATGTATGGACACTGCCAGATGAACCAGCACTCATCTCGGATACTGCAATAGAACCATTTCAAAACAGGAGCAGCCATTCCTTCATTTAGATCTGTTTTGATCGTAAATGCACTGACTTCAACTTTTGCATGATCTATTAAGTTAAGATTTGTTGCACTGTAGTAATATGCTTATTTCCCATATTCACTATAATAATTCATCACATATCCCAATATTGTAAATCCAACTAAAATCCAAAAATAATTCTATTTACTGAGAATGTTTCAGATGATTGTATACATTACATATGCAGTAGCATGAGAAATTTCATTTTTTTGATAAACAAACCACTATCTGTTTGAGGATAAATCATTCGCGAATGATGCGATTGACTGTTTTGCCAATGATGATGCATCTGACCACTATACATTATCTGTGGACGCTGCTGTGACATAATCTGAAATTCAGAACCATTTTATTAAAATTTACGTTTTTAAAAACATAAGAACATGTCTTTAACACTACTAATTTTAAGCAAACAAAAAAGCAATAACGAACAAATAGTATAAAAATAAAAGCACAAAGAAACAACAGTAAAAAGCATTTTCGCGACTGCTTTTTAATTCAAGAAAAACAATCACGTACAAGTTTCTATGAAGGAAGGTCAAGAAGATAACAAAAATAAAATACTTAAAATGGATTGCTAAAACTTCTTTACTTCTTCTTACTGAAAAATCATGAAAAAAGACCCAAAACGTACTTGTTGCTGGTGCTGTGGAACCCAAACGTTTTGTTGCTGATAAAAAGAAGGATTTGAAGATGGATTCTGAAAGTTTTTAAAATTAACAAATTGCTTCTCAGGTATGTTTTTCTCGAAGGATTCGAAAAGAGAACATAAAACAAGGGGTTGAGAAATAAATCATGAAAAATCGCGCAAAAAAGTTCTAGAATTTAAAGATATAACCTCAATTCCAAATCTGCCAAAAACTTTTAATGAACAACCTGCATTATTGGCCCAGTTTGTGCAGGAACAGCCGGAGGAGAACGAAGTGTTTGTGAAGGATACCCTTGCGGATGCTGTGCATAAGTTATGCCGACACTTGGCTGACCACTATGCATTACCTGAAAACCAAGACTTATCATTGTACACCAATTTAACTCCTTAATTGAATGGACGAAGGCTTACAGACCAGTTACTTTATAGAACCGGAGTACGTCAGTAGGATCTCAATAATCTACCACAGAAGGTTTTCGGGACTGAATACCAAAAACCTCCTTATTATATTGCTTCCGAAATTGAGCCATTTAGTTCAAAACACCAACATTTTGATTAATCATAGGTATTTCAACAAATCTGCATAAAGCATCGCAATTAAATTACAAACTAATGAAAAAAAACATTAATGTAACCTGTGACATGACAGTAGGCCTATCCACCGTATGAGCATTTGCAGAAGGCACTCGGCTATTCATCTGCTGCTCCATTATGAATTGCTGTTGCGCCGCAGCAGCAGCCGCTTGTTGCGCTATTTCAGCTTCCTTCAACTGCTTTTTAGTTGGTCGCTTTTCTTGGGAGGAGGAGCAGCAACAGACATTTGACTGCCAGCATCCTTAAACAGAACGTGACTTTCTTGCAAATACTTCAAATTTTAAATGCAAAATATATACAAACAGTGATATACTAGATGAATTTTTTTTAAATTGTAAAATCGGAATAATGCATGCAAAATGTGGTAATTTATTGCAATAGCAAAATGAATAAATAGATATAGGACAAAGAATCGTAAAAAATATCCTTTTCGTTTTGTTAGAATTAGAAATTCTTACATGTTCCAAAGAGACTGTCTGGTGAAAATGAACTGGCAATGGCTGTCCAGTAAGTCTTGGTTGCTGCTGCACGTGAATGTAATGAGGAGGCATCATTTGTCCCTGCTGTGCATAAACAGCATGCTGTTGCGGTATTTGTCCGCGGACTGTGAAGCCCTTAAAAATATCATGATATAAGCATCTCTTTATGCGAAATAAATCATCTATTAAAGTTTCTTATACTTGAATCACGATTTATGTATGCTATCAATAACGGAGAAGATATCTGGTTAAAATTTTCAACCTTACTACATATATATATATTACTATAGGTGGAAATGTCATTACATTTTTAATTGGTCATGGAAAAAATGAAAATAAGAAATCATTGCTAAAGTCAAACAACATCATTTAAAACCTACAGCGAGCATTGGACGTCTCTGGTTGTATTGAGGATAATATGCCTGAGGTAACTGCTGCGCTGGTGCACTCTGCTGTTGTGTAGCAACTACTTGCTGATGTCTTTCCATATTGACCTGGAATACACAATGTGATACAGTATCTACCATCGGTTCGAAAGATAATAACAGCAATACAGACATAACCTAAAACGGAGCATCAGAGCAAATCCAGTACACTCTATTTATGGGCTTTTATAAAAGAATTATCTGCACTGTACGCTGTCACTGCCAAGTGGCAGTTGATGTGTCGAAAAAACCAAAAACAAAAAAGCATGCCTCTTGTTGCGTTGGCCGCATCTGCTGTTGTTCAGAATGTGCATGTGTTGAGGTAGTTAAGTGAGAAACTTCCACTGAAGTTGCTGAAGGACGCATTCGACCAGGCTGCACTGGTGTATTCATTGTGCTTTGTCCCATGTACGGATATGACGAATAACCTGCATACATTAAAAATTTTTTAAATTTTCATCCTCCTTCAGCTTCTATTTATAATATAAACAAGCAGCTTCAATGTAACCGAAATGTGCTTGCATGCCGGAATTAAGGTTTTTAAGAAAAAAGGTATCATACCAACAGTTCCCTGAGTTTGTGGAGAAGGGGCTGACATGTGCTGCATTATCGGAGCAGCAGAAGGACGCGACATATGTGTATGTTGCAAATTATGCATACCAGCGTTAGCAACTGGTGATGAACTTCTGAAGATTTAACAACGTTAATAAATAATTCAGCATAATGATGCTCAGATTTACAAATTTATGGCAGTTCTGTGTAGCAGAATTGTATCGCAAAAATATAACCGTTAAATTTGGTTAGCTCCATCAACACTCAAGTGCATGCAACGAGAAATGTTCAAGACAAAGCTGTTGCTGTCTGCACTTGGCATTTATTAATTATAGCGCATAAAAACAAGGATGGAAAGATAATAATATGCCTTAAGAGGGAAACAGCAAGATTGAACATCACACGTAAAAATACAGTGAATAAGAGAAAGAAAATTAAGCTGCACCGTGATTAGCAATGTGAATAAATGTCCCTCTGGGATTACCTTAATAAATTAACCAACAATGGGCTGCTAGTATTAGATGTAGTCTGAGATTGCTGCTGCTTTACAGAAGCCACTGTATTAGTTGCATTGGATTGTCCACTAACTGTCCCCATATAACCATGCATCCCAACTCCTGTTTGATATATATCATTATTAATTACACCAGCTTTTCGTTTACCTGGTATATGACCAGCTGAAGTTGATGGCGTCAATTCATGTCGACCATTCTCACTGTAAAGCAGTACATATAATGGATGCACATATCCTCAAACAAATGAAAAATGTAACTATTGATTCGAAGAACTTTTACTTTCCACTAAAAAGAGATTTCAAAGCATTAGATTGATTCTCAAAAGAAAAAAAAAAGCAAAATTCTGGAAAATTTCAATTGAAAAACGTACCTTTGATAAGGATCATAAATATTTGCTCTATCAGTAGCATTAGCATTCACTGGTACACCAGCCAAGGAATTCATTTCAGAACCTGTGCTGGGATATGGAAGTGAAAGAAGGCTTAGTGTTGCATCATTCACAACCACTGGTAACAGATTTGATTCGCCCACTTTCACTGAGGTTATACCTAAAAATGTGAGACTGAATTGCGTATTTCAAGTCGCAAGATTTTTTTAAGCACTTCGAAGAAACAGTACCGAAAGGAATTAAAAAGCAGTAAAAGAAATTATCACTTTTATTGCAGACATTATCACCACCTAATCCTATCTCTTAAAATAAAGTTTGGAATATTCGTGACAAGAAACCCAGATTTTGCCACTGTATAAGCAGATCATCATGCATCAAGGTTTGAAGAAACTAAGATCAAATGAATCGAATCTTAAACAACTTAGCATATCTCTGTCACTTTTTTGCAATTCATTTTAAATTCTACAACAAGTGAGACAAATTCCAAATAAAGTTTGTAACATTGAAATCATACTTAAATGTTTCAATGTAGTTGGTTGTTTCAATGCTATCCGCAGTAATTTATGGGAAATATTAGACGGTAGTAAAAATCTGCACCGACGACGTATAAGTCGAGACAACTGACAATCCTGCAACGTTGCTTTCTCGTCAAAAATACTGGTATCAGCTGTACTAGTAGATGGATAGGTTTCGTCTGTCAGCGTTCCTGAACTGGACGACAAAAGGATATTATCCGTTGGTACACTCGATGAAGGCTCATAACTGCAGCTATTGCTCTTCTGTTCTTCCACTGAAAATAATCTTAATATGTTATAAATGCATTAACACTGAAACCTTCACCTTTGATAAGCTCTTACGATCACCTTGTCAATACATTCTTGTAAAAATATTTGGTTTTAATTTTTTGAAAAAAGTTTTTCAAGCTCTTTACCTTTTTTCCTCGTAACAGAAATAAACGTGGTTAGAAATCAAAAACCGCTAGACGTAAAAATGTTTCTCATACTACAGCACTGGCTTTACAATAAATCAGAGAACACTTCAACTTAAAGACTACTAATGCATTGTATTTGAAGCACACAAAATATTTTTTATCAGTACTGACCTTTGTTTAATGACACTGTAGAACAAGGAATCAATACACGACCGTCAACCGCTGATGAATTTGAAAGGCTTGTAGAGCCAGTGACGCAATCAGGATGTGACGATGAAGAGGGTGATGAACAATTTGGAAAATTTATTGGAGTTGTTGTCGTTGAAATGGACGCTGCCGGAGTTGTCCTATCAGTTCCAGATAGATTATGTGTTTCTGCTGTTGCTTGTTGGTTGGTACCAAGCGACCGCTGTTCAGATTGCGGTTCTACACAAATACCGGCACACGACCACTGTTCGTTCATGCGGCATTCATAAGACGCTGTAAAGAAGACTATCTAAATATAATTTTTTCACTTATAAATTACAGTAATGTTTACAGATCCCTATTTAGAATATAGAAGATGAATTTTATACAACTGGAACCAATTTATAGCAGAGAGTACAGGAAAATGATTTTACGAAAACTTCAACCCCTAATTTTAACATAGAATGCACTTTTAAACCTAAAAAGAAACCACATGAAGCAAGCATAAAAAAACACCAACGAATAAAGCAAATATCATTTTTTAAACTTGCATTTTGCGCGAAAAGCTTTTCACCGCCGAATTTTGGCCGCGTTCATTAGACTAACAGGAACCTGAAAAATGGAACAATAGATAAATCAATTAATATCCCAATATTTCGTTATACGTACATAAAAAAGTAGGTAAAGAAGCGACAATAACTATATTACAATCAATTCTACTGTAGTCTTTTCTATTAGTCCCTCTTATGTTCAAAAGAGTCCCTCTTATGTTCAAAAGATTAATCGCTTAATTTTAAGAAATTCTTCATAGTTTTAACATAATACCTACCATTCTGTTCTCACTTCAACTTCATTTCTGTTAAAATATTCGTATGTTTCCTAGCAGTTGTAAAATTGGAAATGCATTACAGCACATTTTTCTTCCTTACAGAGTATGTCGGATAACGCTTACCGCTATCGCCTCGTTCATCTCGGTTACCGGTTAAGAAAGGAGTTATCCAAACATAAGTGTAAAGTTCTCAGTCCTTTTCTTTTCACAATCATACCCATGCATCATGAGTAAAGATCAAAAAACAATAAAAAATCAAACTGTCATCCAACTGTGCATAGTTTATAATATGCCCACATCCATCTACATAAGCAATCAAATTCACCTGATACAACCTTCACGACGAATGTATAGCCAAAATTTATACAATAACGAGAAACGATAACAAGAGGAGAGTTCACAAAAATTGACATATTCTTCAAATGTGAATAACAAAATATTTAAACAGCGCCCACTTAGTAATAATATCTTCCCATCATCTTACTATCAACTCATCCCATTTCTCGGGTCATCGTACGTTATTCGTTTATTTTGTCCATTCACACCTTCAGATTTTTTGATAGAGAAAGTCTCTTATCTGCTCTGTCATCCCCAATTTACCGTTTTACTGCTAATCAACAATGACATTTGCGCAACCTTGAATGTATACTTTACAAATTCATAGATAAAGGATTACATTTTAAATTTAATCAAAGCAAGAAATCGTTAACAGCCTGTTGATGCACTCAAGATCGGAAGAGTTCCAATCGCTGCATATCATAAGTACGACTTCTGTTAGTAATAAAGACCCAGACAAAAGACTAGTTGTCATCCAACTGCATATAGTTTATAACACGCTCCACACACACCTATATCAACTTTCAAATTAGTTTCTATTTTATACTTCAGAAGTACACCAATAACACCGATCATACTAGATGTCAGTCAAATTACAATTGTTTTATATAATTCAATGTACGCAAGAGTGAAGAATGCATGCACACTTAATCTGATATGAGAAACTATGATAAAAACTAAATTGTAAGCTTAAGCTTGGAAACAAAAGAAAAAAGAAAGAGAAAAAGAAATAAACACTGATAACATATAATGTCTCCTCACGGAGACGTCACAGTAATACGAAGCAGCTTATTTACCATCCTCATCAGATCGATATTTATTAACCAGAAGTGAAGTTAGCATGAACATTAAATGAAATTAGGGAGAGAAGACAAGTGACCTTTCTAGGCAATCAGTAATATATTATGAGTCGAATCTGGTTATAAAACTTGGAATCTAAATTAAAAAGAGAATAATGAAATGTCCGTGTATAGTCTAATAGGCTGTCGTGGAGAAGAATCTAAGTCATATTTACGAGTAATGACTGATCATCAGTTAAGGGCCTAACAACGCATCACTACACGCTATACCCACTGCCCACTAGCACAAGAGGTGAACTACCTGCTAGCTAAGCGTGATGCATCAACATAAATATGGTAAACCATTGTTAAAGTAATTCCCGGCAACAACGAATTGTAGGAGTGACCGTCACATTTGAATGGATGTAATGCAGCTGGGCTGTTGGCCAGAATGTTGCCTTGCTACACTGATACTTCTGCACCACATAACGCCACACTACAATATATATCTACCGGGAAGAGAGTGTCACCCGCAGTCCTAGTACTAGCAAGGGTTAACACACATACACACAAGTACACAGTACGGAGTGGTCAGACCGGGTTGGCACTGTTCCAAGGGTAGCAAACAAGTGGTAAAAAGACTTCGTGGAGATATCGTTTGGAGGAACAAGTTAAGTAATCCTTTAGGGAAAACAACCACCACGTGACGCAGCGTGCGTGCCACATCGCACTGCTCTTACAATACTAAACGCGATGCAACACTTGCAGAAGCCAGCGGCGGAGCAAAGCAGCGGCATCAGCAGCGACAACAGCAGCAGCACCATCGACCCTTTCCCCTCCTCTTTGTCTCTGTCCTTCCACTGCAGTGCTTGCGAACGTTTCCACCATGCGACCGACCGCATTCGCAAGCGATCCACGTCCGCTGCATTAATGCGAGCGACACTGCCGCGCTGCACGATGGTTGCACCACTTGCTTTGTTATAAGCAAAGGCATACGGTAGATGGGCGCCTTCTTCAAGCACTGCCCACTCTGCACACATCGATTAGAGACATCCAGAGTTGCACCCGTCCGTTGGATTGACAAACACGGCGGACTTGTCGGTCGAGTGAGGCCCGTGATGTTGGAAAACAAAGAGGTAGACAGACGGACCGGCCAGAGAAAGCATTAGACGATTGCACAATTCTACCTTTATCTCACATCGTGTCCCTGCCATCGTGTGTGCTCCCATGTGCCGTACATTCCCCTTTTCATAAAAATGCTTATGTCGAATTCCGCATAAAAAATTTGTGAAGAATTTCACTGCCAACGTGAAAGGTCAAAACTGATAGGCGTGATGCGCAGTCACGCCGTCCAACTTGATTATTCTATCACTTCTTAGCTATGTGAATTTTCGAATCTCTTTTTCTTAAATGACACTGTCACGACGCTAATTAACCATGTCTTCCCTGCCTGCCCATCTACCTGAGTTATGGATAAATTGAATACAAGATGTACATGGTTTGTGAAGGTTTATAATCCGAATTTTGAAACGCACACATGAATAACATAACAATAAGAAAAACAGTGAAAGGCTTAATCGAACAATCCAAATCCCATGTCTTCGTCAGATTCCTCTTTCGGTTCTTCTTTCTTCTCTTCTGCAAATGCATTCCTTTTCTATTGAAAAAACAATTTATGTAATCTCAAGAAATCTCAAATTGAACCGAATATTGCACCTTTTTTAGATTCCGCTTGTAACGCACCGGTGGGAGTTGCTGAAACGACTGGAGCTATTGCTGACACTGCAGCATCTGAAGGCACTGACGAGATCTTCGCCAGACCTGCTGTAATTACCTGCAATTTTTAAAGTAACATATCCTATTGCAATTGTTCTTGTCACTTTGATTTCCAAGCTTATTGAGCTCTTCTTTAAACACTCACGCCATTGCTAAGAATTAATCTAATTTAAAATGCCAGAACTTATCAAAACATACTGAATTTGTATAGAACTTACCAAGTAGAAAATATCAACTCAGATCTAATCATAACTAAATAATGTCGAAAACGAGGATTAATGTGCTCTATGAAAGAAACTGATGGGACCAGACTTCACACAAAAAGAAACACGTAGACAACCAAGCGCTTAGAGCAATGGCATTTCTGGATACCTCATGTCATATGAATTAAACTTACAGCAAAAATACATGAAAGGAATTTCATGGAAAGACGAATTTCCAGAATGCTTAATTTTCAGCAGCATAACGAAAAGATATACCTCATCAATGGATTTCCCAGATAAGGCTGACACGACTTTATTCGCATCTTCCATATCAACATCAAGTCCAACTGATCCTGTAAAACAGCAAATCATTATACAAACTTAAATATCCTTTATTATTGCTCCATACATAGTGCGGTAGTTTCGACAATCTCTGCATACAAATATATACAAAATATATATAGTACTACACGTTTATATAAGAAACTACTGAAGATTTTGATCGGAGTTTAATTTACCAAAAATATATTAAAACATTAGAACGTTCGTATTTGGATTGAGAAAATTATATAATATTCATTGGGAAGAATATAATCTGAAGAACAAAAAGGGAGCTCGAAAGAAAAAATATTTCTTACCAAGCACATCCTCTATATCTTTTGCTGTCGGTGATTTATTTCCACTCATTGTAGATAATAAATAAGCAGCCAAATACTTCATCATAACACCTGAGAATACACTAAAAATAAGCGACATGGGAGGTTTCCATTCAATCTTCCACACACCGCCGCCCTTTGGCAAATCTCTGAGATGCAAACTAACAGTTAAGATAATCTTGGAAATGAAACCAAAGGATGAACTCATAGACCAACCCACCCAATCTCTCGCAGTTTAAGAGAAGAGAACGAGCCTAATGGGCTCACCTCTCCTATGCCTCATCCTTCTGGCATATTATCAAACTTCTGAGAACCTGTAAAACCATTCTAATCTGTTGCAGCGTTTTAAATTCACATTAACACGAGAAAACTGTTGACTTGTTGCAATTTTCATAGCAATGCGGAAGCAGAGGACAGAGAAGCGGAGGGCGACAAGAGTGGGGGGTGACGCAGACGTGTTCACATCTGAACGTGTACCACGTATTAGTAAGAGGCAGTTGGTGCGATTTGAGTAATGAACTCGACTCTCCTTTGTCTCATATCTACTGAAACATGATGTATGTCGTAGTGAAGGTGGTAGTAAATGCTGACGACTTATTTTCTTAGATTGTAAAATCATTAGCTAATAGTTAAAGGTGGGCATAATTTTGAATACAGAATATCAGAATTAACTCAGTAGCGTGCATGTATTAGGGAGCGTGTGAGTTCAACTTAATGTTAAAATGTAATATGATGCATTAACGTGATCTTATCACTTACGTGTTCACCGCGATTTTATCGTTTATATGGTTATATCACTGTATTTGAAGCAACTTTATATTTAGTAAGCCTGTAATGGACCTTCAAAACCATACTTCTCATTTATGTTATTCATATCAGAAAGCCATACATGAAAATTGTTCACCTTAGTATGTTTAGTTTAAAAGTATTGTAGAGTGTTACACCTATCATATGGGATTATTAATGTAGTTTAAAATTACAAATCTAAAATAATTAATAATCCTATCAAAACTTGTTCTTATTGCGAGTAATTGTTATATTTGCGATCCATGTTTTTATATAGAAGGTTCCTGGTCCTTGTTCAATTCGAGGCGTCATGCCAATACTTACAAGTTCAGTTGTACTCCTTACTTTGTTCCATTAAATGCCTAGTTTCGCTACTAGTTGGTGAAGCAAGAATAATGGATTTTTGTCATGATGGCATCTTACTTTCACAAAAGATTATTGTTCTTTCAATCAAACAACTCTCCTCAAATTTTATTCCTTATTATAATTACAAAGATCATGTTCATTGCAACAGCAGAAGCTGATAGGTACACCTTGGAATGTTGTACTTCGGCATGTGTTCGCTGATAACTGAAAAGATTATTTTGTCATATTTACCGAAATTTTATAAAAATATCTGAATAAAATGGTTGTTTTTGTGAGGTTTCGGGAAATCTTGCATATCGCATTTGTTTGGATTTTATGTGATTTTTATGTATTTTATGTATTCTTATTAATTCCCGATTTCAGTTTCAGACTTAACATATATTCCTGATAAGCAAAAGATTTACCATGCACCTATAGGTTGAACAACCAGCTTTCATAATCTTTAAAACTAATGCGGTTTCGGCGGTCATATTATAGCAGTAAGCCGTTTCATTTTCACATTCTTCGGTTTCCGTACCAAATACTTGGCCTCGAATAATTCGGAATCCCTGAATTAAGGAAATTCAGCTAGTACTGTCCGATTATGCACTTTATTATTTTTTCATTTGAAATTAACAACGTTTAGCAATATATCATGCCAAGATAACGAGTGCTAAGAGATTTCGGAGCTTACAGAATGCAATACTTTGAACTTCGCTCTATCATGCTTTCGAGGTAAAACGTTCGCTTCAAAATGACTTACTTTGTAACACGTAATAGAATACACAAGAAGAAAATCTGTAATCAGCAACAGCAGTAACAATGTTTTATTCATTTAAAGTGAACAAACTGCTGAAAATAAAATTCAAAAATATAATAACGTTCGTATGACAATTGGATAGGGGGGAATGTCTATCACTTGGTTTTATTTTGAAAATGGTTTACTATAGCGCTATGTGTTGACATTTAGTATTCTAGAAAAAGTAAGTGCTGTTATATCTTCTACAGAGTCCGGTCTTGAATAGAAGAAAAATATGGGAGAAGTATGAAAATATGAATTTTATAAGAGAAAAATATGAATTCTATTTGAAAACTTATAAATAAGTAGCTGTTCAAGAGAATGGTCATTATGAGTGATGCTGAAATATGGTTCCTATTAATAGTTGTGTCGGTTTTTCTTAAAGTTTACTATTTTTCTTAAATGATTGTTCATGAATATCACACGTCAAGTTGCAATAAGTTCTCTAAATAAGGCTGCTCAAATCGATTCCTTTTGCGGTTGAACTTTGCCATTCAATATTGACAAAAGGAAACATACGATTTCTATTCCGAAAAGTTTCACCTTTGCTGCTATGCAAATAAAGTTTTTTCATTTTATTGAACAATTAAGCATTTTGGGTGGGTAAATGGACATATTACACAGATGTAGTAGTAATTGAATGAACAATTAAAGTGAATGAGCATGGACAGAAGTATTGCAAATTCATGAATTTGTAACTGATTCATACGATTATCAATAGGTTATTGAATCTTTTAAAACGTATTTAATCGTTGGCGAGCTAGTTAGTTAGTTGTTTTAAGGTGATGAGCAGCAGCAAGCGATCGATAATTAAGAACAACTGATGGGTAGAAGTGTGTTTAAACTACGAGGAGAAAAAACCTGCTTGCAAACTTGGAAAATATACCACAGATAGTAGGAGGAGCTGACAAGGGTTGTGGATGAATGACTCCAAGAATACCATGATTTCTCTTTATGGCCTACCAGGTAAACTAGTAACCTTATAATTGCATTATATTAGAATGAAAAGATTCTTATGTTTAAGGTTTTTAAAATGAGTGGTCAAATGGCAATAAATAATGAATTTATTTTGAATCTAGTCGAGCGCTTAAAATTTTAGTCTGTTGTCAAGTTTAATTTACGCTTATTACTTTAAATCATAATTGATGCTCTCAATTCACCAAAGACGGCTAATCAAAATATGTGAAAGCATAATCAAAAGTATGAGGGTCATCATTTTCTAAAGCTGTCATGTCGCTCAGTATATATTAATGGTGGAAACTTTGGGAGGTCATAACATCCTGAAACTTCTTGAAAATATTTAAAAGTAACTCTTCCGATAGGAAAAGAAGTTAGATGGCAGAGCAAAAATGAAGTTGGAGGGAATATATATATATATATATATATCTACGTGGAGCTCTGTTCCAATGCCAAAAACAGTTTCTTCATACTTTTATTTAATTTATTTGGACGGAAGAGAGATTACACTCTTCAATTTTCTATTACTCAAAAATTATGCTGAATTTCTATTTAAGGAAATGTCGATCAAAGAGAAACTGAAATGTGCGCGAACAACAGAAGAAGTTTTATTCATTTTAAATATGTCTGAATATTTACCACTTTTTGCGAAAGCGGATATCGTTCAAGCATCAGCTTTAAGGCTATTAAGGGAAGCTGATTTAAAGGTATATTTATTCATGATTGTTTACAAACATCCACATGTTATTCATATCAGAAATATGTACCACTTCAAAAGATATCAGAAATATTATTTTTCAAATAATTTCGATTACTATTTGTCAGTTGCAAATTAAATTTAGTGTGATAGTAATTGAGTTATCTATTTATGATTCTATCATCATGCTTATGTGCAGTGTTTAGTGCATCGGTATCGACAGTTTTGGACGACAGAAACTTCTCCGAGCAATTCGTTATTTATCAAAAAATATATCAGTAAGATAATGTGGCCTTAATAAGTGTGATTAGTATGAGAATGGATATCATCTTTCCGCTATTATACTTCCTGAATCTCAAAAATTTTTATGTTTTCACTTCATCGCTTTCTTTTATTTGTCCAGTTATTAAGGTGACAATTGGCGATAGGATTCGACAAAAAATATATTATGCTACAAATATAGAATCGAAATATTCCAAAATTAGTGAAGAGAAGTTCTGTTTGCAAAAGGTTATTGTGATTTTTTGGCCTATGAGATAAACAGCCAATAGTAATTAAACAAAAATTAGCAGAAACGATAATTAATAGGGTACGGTCTTAACAGCGAATCCGTGCAGTTGTACATTATCACCTGGTGAACGCGAGCTGATGGAATTGGCGTTAGTAATCATAATGTCATTTAATAGTAAGGTGATTGATAAGGTGAATGCAGTTACGAATAATGAGTATTTTATATTTACTTCAATCATCGATTGACAATTACAGATACAACTGTAGTTTCAGGCAGAAGATGAATTATTGCGATGTAAAGTGGAATTAAATTTAAAACGAAATGAATTGGCACGAATACAGAAACAGGCTAAACTAATTCGCGAGATATTTGAAATGATAGGTGATGCAAGACAGTACGTGGAAAAACTTCGAAAAAATTGCGACAAATATGGCAGTTTATCTGTTCAGCGATTAGCTGTTGACCTTGAAAGCTTGTTGAACACTTTCCTTAAAAATGCTAATTCAAATCCATCCAACGTATGTTGTATTTTAATCACTCTCTATGTGAATCTCACTGACAATATGTTGTGGTATTCTTTGTGATATGAAATTATTCAGGAAAATATATCGCCTCTAGCAGTTGTACAAAACACAAATTCATGTTGTACAAATATCCAGCGATATTTGCCTGAATCGTTGCTAAAATCTTTGACAAAGTATAATACTCGGCTTTACTGTTCAACTGAAACAGGTCCCGGTCCTTGGTATGCAAAAATTTTGAAATCTACAGCTACTCGGCGCTATAAACAGGTGCCATGTTCTGTTAAAAAATTATGTACCTTAAGTTTTATGTTGTCACTTATTTACACAATGAAATCAAGTAAAATATGATTTCGGTAAATATAGTCTATTTTACAATTCTTGAGCTTTACAAATTAATTGTAAATATTTAATCTTAAAGTGAATACTACTTGCAAATGGTATGATGCTTCACAATAGTTAAGTTTCTGAAATCAAGAAGTTTCACATTAAAGAACCAAAACTGTAGATTCGGAATTAACTATATCATTTATCACCGTTCAGTGTCACTTTTACGTATTTTGCAGCCTCCCTCTTTAATCTATTATCACCCTGTTGATGAAGAAAGGTATCAGGAAACGACAATATCACTATCAACTCAAACATCACAGTACGGACACCCAAGTTTCGTGGATGGGTTATTCTCGAAATTTGGAAAAAACAAAACATCAACACCTTATAAACAACACTCTTCATCAGTTAAACAATATTCAAGCAACACGAGCAGCTTACAACAATCACTTCATCACTCCCGTCAAAAGTGCTCGTATTTTTCAGTTCTTTATTTTTTACGTGTTGATTTAATTTCGCTCATTGATGACTTATTTCACTGAATTGACACTTCATTTTCAGACTTTTTTGCACAAAGATGTAGTTGTACTATTGATTTCAGCACAACTGCCTCAAAAAATAATGGACCGTTGTAGTTCAGCTTTGAGTTACTACGAAACAAGCTATAGTCCAGCTAGAAAAATAATCCTACTTAAAATTTCACAAGCTTATATACCATGTATTGAATCGGCGACTTCATGAGATATCCCACCAAAATTCATCCTAAAAAAATTAAATAATTACTGAAGTTTTAATTCTAGTTTCAGGGTTAAAAATGTGTTTATGAAAGCGTCAAGATGCTAAATTCATCCACTAAATTCCGAATTAAAATTGGTGAACTTTGATTCCAAGAATTCAAATTTGATTCTAGAATGCATGTTTCTGTTATATTCATGAAATGATGACTGTTTCTTATTATTTATACTCGATAAAAAATTACTTGATCATTTGAAATTTATAATAGCGACTACAAAACACATGTGACACACGTAGTTTTAAAAAGATTTCTCTCCTTTGCATACTACAAGACTACTTCCCATTTCACTGGGCAATAACAGTTAACAAATAATAATCATGCTCACTAATTAGCCTCTAAAAAACATAATCATAGTTATAAGTGGATGTTGACGGTTATTTCAAAGCCTACAATCAAAGAAAAGGCATATAAAAAAGAACTGAGAAAAATGAAGAAAACAGATTTGAATTAGCCCAAGTATGAAGCCATTCTCTAAAATTTTACGAAAAACAGTCCGAAAAACCTCGAAAAAAGAAAAATGGATCTAGCAGAAACTCTTGCTAAATTGAATATAAAACAAATAGATTGAACAGGATCACGATGATAGCAGAAAAATATCATCGTTGTAATAATTCATGTACTGTATAGTGATAGAATCAAAATGTAAGCACTTTCATATTGCAAATTCGTGAAATTCATTAACAAAAAAAATAATGGTATTCTTGATATGTAAAATGTAATTCTTAACAAATTCATGCTTATTCTCAATTAAATTACAGTGCTTAGTGTGCGAGGTGAGATCTAATGGTTCAAAATACACCAGTTTTCGTCAGAAGGTGATCAGTAAAACTGTTGCAGAAATGATTAAAATATAATATCAATATTCTTATTGACCTGTTTTCATAAATCGCTCCATCTCTTAAACATTCATTTTACAAAGCCAAAGTCCATTCTTATTCGTTAATTTGCAATTGTTCATAATGAAAAGCAACAAAGTTAATAAAACTTCATATTTACAAAATGGAACAATAAAATTGGTGGGATAAGCATTTATCATTAAATGAAAAAGTTCTCATCGAAAATTATCATTATGAGGTGCATTGAAATAAATTCAGGCTAAGGAAAGGAACTTTTCAGCAATCAAAATTTTTTTCTTTGTTTTTAGACAAAAGAGAATCAGTACGAGGCGAATGAGAACAACATTTTGGATTCTCAATGTTGAACAAGGAAGATGAAGCGGCTGACTCGAAGCTATAATAAAATGGAAAACAGCAATCTTGAAAATAAGACTTCTTTTCTCCACAATCATTTTTTGCATTCATTGCACTAATAATTTACGGGCAACAGTAGCAACACAGAGACTCCCTGTAATCAAACTATACTTCCTAAAATATCAAAAGAAACCAAACTTCATTGTAAAATCTGAAGGAATGTAAAAAAACTGGTTATATCTACATTGCCATTTTGCAAAATCCAATCAACAATCGAAATATTCATATTGAAAATCGTAAATTTTTACCTTTTTAAAAGAATATTAAGTGAATACTTCAAAGTCATTGTTATGTACCTTCGTGCATAGATATCCTGATAGGGACATACTAAGTCAAGTCATACAACACGCAATCTCTTTAATCCTGAAATTACAGCATATTCATTGAGGAATAATTTGGAGGAGAATAAAGATGTACTCATACCCAACAACTTTGACAATAACTTCTATGGGATGAGAAAATGTGTTGCTAAAAAAAGAAAAAGTAAAGGAAAATTAAAAATGAGAAACAATTTGTATCCTCTTCTTTGCAAATAATTTTATTCCAACATTTTTGATAATTTTCACAAGGTCTATTTACTTCAAAAAAAAAAATTCATAAACACATTAAGTATTTGACGAGTACAAAAGTTTCTACGAACGGCAGAATTTAAGTTTAAATTGTACTCAAGCATTCTATGCCAAGCATACAAAATTCTTTACGAATATTCAAACGTTTCGATATCAAACATTGACATATCCCAGTTAATAACACTACACTGCCTAGAAAAAAGCAAAATGTAATGAAGATAAAATATGGAAAAGTTACAATGGAATTACTACAACAAAATGCAATGGTTGTGAGATGATATTTCAAAAAGACAGCAAATTGTGAATTCTTATAGTTGATAATTTTTACCAAATCTCTATAAAGAATTTCCTCATTATTACAACCTTGTTTCATCAAATACATTGTAGTTTGTTCTTATCCCTCTCACCATGATGTTTTATTTTTAGTGCTCACGCACTATGTGCTTTCCATCATGCCAATGCAACGACGTCAAAATACTTTAAATAAGTACAAAGAAAAATGTAAACAACGACCTCGCTGTAAAAGATAATTTAAAATTTTAACATTATAATAAATCGATTTAAAACAACAGAATGCTTACTTGTTTACTCTTTTAAAGTACTATCGAAACACAAGTAATCCACATAAAGCGCTATTAATTTTAAACCGATTTTTAAAAAGTGAGCAGTCTAATATATATTTGTATTTAATATGATATTAAGTCATCATACATATCATACATGTTCAAAGTCTGGAAATGAAAAATACATTTTTGGCACAACTTGGAATTAAATACCATACAACCTTCAAAAAAAAAAAAGTTTCAGATAATACGAAAGCAAAGATCTCATGTATTGATTTTCCAATTCTTTCTAGTTATTTCAATAGGAGAATAACTTGAAAATGATTTGCAAAGAAGTAGAAAAACTCGTAGCATAATTTGAAAGAAAATGCAATATAAATGATATTATAATAATTTTTGCCAACTTTCTGAGCAGCACTTAGTTTACTCTCTAATAATAAATGAAAATGCTACAGGCGACATCGGAATTGTCTTTTCGCAATTATAATTTTCTTTCTAAGTAGAACAGTTTTTCTTCACAATCAAGATGAAAAAAGTTTACCTAAAATATTTGGTGGAATTACTGAGACTTTAAAGATTTTACAGCTGAAAAGAATCCATAAAAATGTTTCAAGTTCATAAATAGTTCATGAAGTGTTCGAAAATTTGATTTAAAAAAATTTAAAGAAAAATTTGAGTTGAAAAAATTTAAGCTAAGACACAATATTAGGTAGAGGTGAAGTATGAAAAAATTCCAAGCTCCATGAACAAAGCAAGTATGGAAAGTGAAGCAATCCCCAAATTCTCAAAAGATGCCTGTTTTTGATAATGCTTGTCTCTTTAATCAATTATTTTGGTTCACTGATTTTTCAATATTAAAACTTAATTCTGCAAAAAAGAAAAAAAAATTAAATCGGCAAAATATGCATATGAAAAGGGAAATGGGAGAGGTATGTTATGTATAATATAAAAAGAACTGTGGAGAACAGGAAAGAGAGAGAGAGAGAGAAACTTGATGCAGTAGAAGTATGTTCCGCAGTTGAAGCAAGGACAGTAAACTAATTTCTTTTTAACTAGAACCGAATATTGTACCTTAGATTGAAAAGTGTGAATTTACAGTTAACTGACAGAAGAATGTGAGATTGAAAAAGGGTGAAATGACATAGAAAAACTTCAAAGGACTCAAAAACAAAAAATTTTGTAATAGCTGCTGCAAGTCGTGCAGTTAATGGACAAAACTGCTATAGTTGAGCGATTTCACGGATTTTAATGAGACGCATCGATACTGATGCCCTCCTATCTGTACTGGGTTGTATTCTACTGTATCCTAGCATAACAAAATTGTGTGATACATCTCTAAGTTCACGTTCAGACAGAAGTGTTAATGAACAGCAAAAAGGAAAACATCAATATCAATCATAATTTTAGGCTTCAACAATCATAATAATAATAATAATAACCATCAAAAATTCTAGGCTTCAAACTCAAAGCACAGTGCAGTGTTTAGCACATATTACTGCATGTTCCGCAGTTGAAGCAAGAAGAGTAAACTAATTCTAAAATGGTTATGCATACTGATATATTTATCCCACTGCAAAGAGAAGCAACCTTTATTTTAAGTCATATTTTCACTGCTTTGCATTAGGATTACAAAATCTTTAAAAACTCAAGTTTATAAAAATTGAAAGGCGAACGAAAATTTAATACCTGTAAACACTGTCTGTGTATCATATCACATTTTGTAGCAGGAGGACAACAATGAATAAGATCATTGCAGCATACTGCATCCATCATCGGACAACAACCATAAATACCTTCATTAATTAGACAACAGGTTGCTGAGTCCGGACATACTGATTTACCTCCAGGACAACTATGCGTAATCTAAAATGGCTTTAACTTAGTTAAAGAGCCAGAACTATCGACTAAAGTTTGAAATTAAAGAATATTGTTCCTAAAACTAGGTCTTATGAGTAATCTTGTGAAAACTAGTGAGAATATTGTTGTTAAAACTAGGTTTTATTATTAATCTTACGAAGACTATTATTTGTTTGGTATCTTTTGTATATATAACGATTAAGAGCTTAAAAGATTAATGTCGCGTCTGTCTGCTTTGTGTTTTAAGTTTACACATGAATGGCAGACTTATTCTCCAAGTTTATTCTACACTTTTCTATTTCCCAAATGCAGTCAAACTAAGCGAGACGCCTATTTTATTTGAAATTCTATCTGCAAAAAAATATGCGCAAAAAACAGCGAATAGTCGAAGAAATCAGGACACTAAAAGAGAGATGAATTCGTTCCTTGAAGGAAGTACAAAACTTTAATAAAGCTATCTAAAGGATTTTCGATAACAACAGCAACTTAAACAGACAAATTTATTTTTCGATGATTATCAGCAACTCTATAATTCCATGAAAATCAATAAAGCTTACCACAGCTTTATCAGAAGCAGCAATGGCGAAAAAAAGAATAAGTAATATCATATTCCTTAAAATAATGAATTTATATTATCTCCATAAAATGAACATGAACATTTTTGCACAAACGTTGGTATATTCACAGCAGCTATTATTTTAACAAAAGGAAAATATTAAAAAAAACATTTTAATGTATTTTTTATAAAAAAATATTTTAATGTATTTTAATGTATAAAAAAATATTTTCATTTCATCTCAGCCACCTGATAAAAGTCTGTTACAGATCCAGTCTACACTTGAATGTGACACAAAACATTATACTGCCGATTGTTTACCGTTTATCCTTCCATTATCCCTTAAATCAAAGTGATAAGTGGTACGGCCGATAAATGATGTGAGATTATCAATGGTAATATGGTCAACTGCTGAGATAAATATAATTCCAGCAATTAGATAACGTCAGATGAAAGTTGGAAAAGAACTGCAGCACTGTCCATAAATGAGATAAGAAAGACACTGCTATTGGCAATCTAACAAAAATGTTTTCCAGCATGATTCGCTGGATGGCTACTTTAACCGGTACTCAATTCAGTAGTAATTAATAAAACATCAATCCCATTTCTTGTTGTTGATGAATTTATGAACTGGAAATAGTATCCAAAAAATTAAATTAGTAACTTTAACTTTTGTAAATATTAGACAAGATTAGTGATATCAATCGAACATGGTTAAATGACATGAAGTGCTAAATCATGAGGTAGATGTACGTCAATAAGAAGTATATACTACCCTATTGCTGTAGATATTTCACCATATATCAATCTGTTTCATACAGACAATTAGCATAACCGATATTAATCCATCTGTTTGGAACCTGAAGGGTATTCATTTCGAATAAGAGGCTGACAACCAGAAACAGACGTTATTAACATCCCTCAGGCTTCCAATACTTTAATTTCTTGTCACCGGACGGTTTTGTCATAACTCAGTTAAAAAAGAGCACTAATTACAGAAGGCTTACAACCATTACCATAATGCTTCACTGAGATTTCCTTCGTGTTGAATGACTTATGGAAAACAATAAAGAAAGTGCTTGTCATTGTCGTCAGCTAAAATCAATCTATAACAAAACATTAGATGACGGAAGCAAAATGATACAAGTTGAGGGCCAGATGGCATATACTAATTAATGAATCGAATTTGGAAACAAAGTGGAATTCAGAAATTTAATTCTAAAAAGAACCTGTCCCCTCAGCATGAAAAAGCAAACAGACCCTACTGGTTACAACTTCATCTAAATTTTAATTATAATGATCGTCAACTTGAGATTAACATATTTCATTTCGTGCTACAGATCGTTGCTCACAATATGCTAGGACGAAAGTGCGGGAGAGTTGAAATGTGAATTCGTACTCTTTGCTGCTGGGGGAGGCTTTTGATTGTGATATTTAAATATATGTAATGGAGGGGTATACCACAAAGCTATTTGCAGTATTATTTGAAAATCTGATGTTTGAAAAGCACCAAATTCTAAGGTCTGAAAGACATTCGACTGAAATGAGATTTCAGGAGACTCCAGGATAATCGAATGTCTCGGAGAATGACGGAAATATTATCTACGAAAAGCAACTCTTCTTCTTTTCATATTGAGACGCCTAACTTTTTTGAAGGCATTTCAAATTCGTCACGGTTTGTTCGTTTTATTTACTTGAACTGAAATGGTTATTATCGCCGATGTATTCATTCGTTAAAATGTAAAGTGTTATTCATTTATTTTGCTTTAGTTTGTTAAACAAATAACTATATTGTTTGAAGTAAATCAAATATCAGGAGACTGACAAAAACTCTTTGAAGCTTTCTACCATCCGAAATTACGGATTCCACGGAGCACAATTTATGGATGGAAGCTCAACTCAAAGCTTTCGAATTCTTAAGTCCTTTTCAAGATAACCATATAGAAAATGTAAGAAAGTCTAAGATTTTAGAAGGTATGCGTTTTATATTATACTATTTACTTGTTTTTATCAGTTCCGAATTTGTAAATTTAAACTGATTACCAGATTAGTTAAGATTTTCCAGTTTTTTTTCTTTTTTCTTTTTTTTTTTTTTTACAATTTCTATTGTTTAAGGTGTGTTAGCATTTGTGGATGTAAAATTGGAGAAAACGTCAGTTCTGCATCAAATGTTAAGTGATTTAGGGGCCAGTGTCAATTTACGGTATGTTAGTTTTTTTATGACTAAAATGACGTCAGCAATATCAGTTCATTGAAGTGTGAAGTACGTGGTGTTATTTTTCTTTAGTTGTTAGACAAATAAGTGAATTTCATAATTACACACACAATATTCTTAGAATTAGTTTTAAGAAACTAACTTTTTCTGCTGTTTTAAAACTTATTTAAAAAAAATTTTTTTTTGTTCGAAAATTGTCATAAAGATCAAAGTAAAAAATTAGCATAAGCGAGATAATAAATCTTCTTTTCTTAGATGTGCACTTCATAAAATTTTCTATCTAGACTTTATATATATAATATAAAACAGTTTCTTATGCTCGAAATTCTGCTTTTATATTTTTGAATGAAATTGCTGTCAATAAAAAGATTTCAGCAACTTTAACCATTTCTCTACTGCTTTTGTATTGCTTTCCAGATTTTCAAAAAATATTACTCATTTAATATTCTGGAATGGTCGGCAAGAAACGTTAGACAAAGCGCATCGTTTGGGAACAAAAATTTTATTAATTTCGCCTCACTGGGTGTTTAAGTAAATTATTGCTATTAAAAATTATTCTTTCCAATTCCTTTCACTTCTTTGCATCAGGTATATAGCATAGGCCATAAATTCGATAGTGTCATTTTCTTCTTTTATTTTTTATACGAAATAGTAATAAATTTCATAGTCATTTTTATCTACTTCAGATGTTTCATGAATCAAATTCGAGTTGATGAAGCTCCTTTTCTGTTGTATGGTGTAAAGGATCTTGCTGTTCCGATGAGATTAATGGCTATGGGACGAATGGGAACAATTAATTTGGTATTTGATGATCAGAGTAAACCTGTCATTCGTAATGTAAAATAGTGAAGAAAATCGTAATACTGGATAATTGCTTGTTTATAGCTGAGTACTTAGAAAGCTATAAATAAAAACTTAAGTGAAATCATTTTTTTAATTCTAGTTTTGATTCCAAAATTACAAGTAAAACTCCACTTATATGGTCTATTTTCAAGATGGTTTAGATGTAAGCATATGTAAATATAATACTGCTAAAACATTCTTCAGAATTGTCATGGCAGAGCTTTAAATTCATTTGGCAGTTCAGCAAACCACTCACAGATAGTACATGCGATCGAAACGCTCTCTGACCAGCTTGCTTCCAAACTTAGTAAGTTATGTAGATTATAGAGCTATCTCTTTTTAGACTCACATTATTCCATCACATGCATTAATAAAGTTCCCTGTTTTTCTGAGGTTTTTAACATTAAAATGTCGGCCCACTACATAACAAACATACCTTTAATTTTTAACATCCTCGTTTATTCACTTATTTGTAGTTAGTACAAAAAAAAGCACCTTTTAATATTACTCACTATAATGAACACAGCAGTAAGGTTCAGTTGCTTTTTTCATCAGTTTTCTCATTTTATTTTAACCACTTTAGTATACTTCTGCAGTAGTGAATACAATATTAAATTTAAAGTGCTTACCAAGCCTATTCTTGAGTCTTTTTTGTAGGTATCCTCAAAGTGATGTGAGTTATAAAAATTAAAGCTTCTCCATTTACATAGATAAGAATAAAGTTGAAAAAAATGGCACTAGTGGAACAGTCGATGAAAAAAATCTATCACCTTTTTTGAAAAATTATGATTAAAGAGAGCTATACATAGGAATACAAAAAGCAAGGCTTCTGATTTATTAAATTACACAATTTCTTGTCTCTGAATTCGTGCGAAATTTCAATCAATAGTTGTTACAGCATCTCCTAATGATAATATTGATGTTGTGGAAGTAATTTCTCCAATTGTGGATCGTGTACGAAAAAGACTGAATGAACTGAGTGAGTATATTGATATTTATCTTATTATACCAAGAAGTTGAATGATCTATCGCAAAGAAGAAGAGCGGTAGGAATGAATAAATACTGTAATTTATTATGAGAATTAGAGATCTCGGTCACTACAATTATTCGTAAATGGAGATGCTGTTTATAGATTGTACATGTAATGTAGTTGGGGAAACTTCATTATTAAAACATTCTGAGAATAATTTATCCACTGAAGAGTGCAGCATGGATATAGATAAGCAACGACAGACTAAAGGTTTGTTTTTATGCGCTTATTTCATGATTAAATTTTTAGCAAAGTGAGCAGACTAACTGGGCAGAAGTAAACATTAAAAATTGAGAAAGAAAATTCTATCAAATTAAAAATTTTCTGCCAAACTTCCAAATGTAAGATTACTGTTCATAGTACCATTAGTCTTTTGACTGTTGATTTGTCAGTTTGACAGGGGAATCAGTTTAAGCTGTGTGCTTTAGAGAAATTATCCTTGCTCTTGGTTATATATAAAATTTAAAAACACGGAACATAAATGTAATTTTTTTGCATTCAAGGTCATTGTCGAGTCAGTAAGCAAAGAAGGCATACGATATCGCAAGTATCGATGTTTCATGGGAAATCTGAGCTACAATTTACAACTCCTGCAAGAGCAAACTCAACTTCGACTAAATCAGTTAATTCAAATTGACTTTAATTATAATCAAATTTTTTCCCTCTTTTTTTCCCTGTAATTCTGCCGCTCAAAAGTGAATTTTTTTTCTGACTTATTAGTGACAAATACTTTATTATAGATAAGTTTGGTGGAAATTACACAAAGTGAACCAGTTAAAAGGCGCGGTCGACCAACAGCTAATTCTGAACAGTTAGCAGAGTACACACCAACTCGTTTTCACAGAGTGGGTGTTTCACGTTTCATAAACCCTGAGTTTTTATAAGTGCTCAATAAAAATTTATTTACATTTAACTGTTCAAAGTTCACGGTTGAAATCAACTTACTGGAATATGGATATATTTTTGTGTCGTCGATGTTTGTGAAAAATATCATTTCTAGTAAAACGTTTTAAGCGTATAAAAAAGTTTGTGCATGAAGAAGTGCCATTTTATAGACACATCTTTGAATGAGAGGCGAAAATTTTTTTGACACCTCTAGTAGTCCACCTAATACATATTTTAGTATTTGCAAAGACGATATCGTTCCGTAAAAGCAAAACATGCTGCGCAATTAAATACGGAGAAAATGGTATCCATGTATAGAAAAATGATGGACCGGAATTTTTCTGAAATCGTTTCCGGTGACGGAAAGCTTTTGGCAAAAGGTTTGTCTCGATTTCCATCTAATGTAGATTACATTTTTGTTCTTAAATATCATCTCAGGATGAAATTAAGTGACTTATATTACTTATTCTCTCTGAAAGTATTCATCTCACTGATTTATTAATTCACGTCTTGTATGTTTCAAATTCCAGCTGGATTTCAATATTTTCTCAAATTGTAAATTTAGAGGTTTTGAAAGTGCGGCCGGTAGTGGTACGGACTCGTTCGTCAGTCTTGAATGAATTGCAAAATATTCCCAGCTCGAATGAATTTGTGAAAAAGAAGAAAATTGCAAAGAAAAGAGTTAAAACTGGTAATATTATACTTTCAGGGATTAGTAAGATGTAAGTTTATGTTTTTTAAACATTTAAAATTTTTTCCCCTTTTTATTTTTTCACTCCAAAAGCCCAAATAATTGATTTTTGAAATGCAAGTTTTTATTGATTTTCATTGCAGTGAGAGGGAAACAGTTTTTGCAATTACTAAAAAATTGGGTGTGCTAAAAATTGCAAGCACTTTTGACGAACGTACTCGTTATGTAGTGAGTGATCACGAAGGTATGCGCACAGTTAATGTTATGCGAGCATTAGTCAAGGGAATACCAATTGTTACAATTGAATGGGTACTATTTTTATTATTTGATATTTGGTAAGGAACCAATGTCTCAAGTTACCTTTTAGACAAACTTCTAAGTTTTTAAGTAAATTGACTAATTTATAATAACAATTAATTGCCTAACTTTTGAGTTTCGAATTGCTGTTTAGGTCTAGGACTTCACTCCAGTGAAGTTCAGAATAATTGTTGTAGGTATAGGCAGTAGCTGTATATCTCCCTTTGCAGTTTTTCATTTTTGTTTTTTCAACATTTTTTCTGATTGCAAAAACTCACTGATTACAAGGTTCCAATTGCTTTAGTTCCTCGTCTCTTTTTCCAGGCATACCGTTCGTTGGAAATTGGTGGTTGGTTAAAAGGAAATGATTTTTTTGTTCCAAGATGGAAAAGTGCTCACAAAGCTTGGCTTAATGGTTGCATGTCTCGTTTGTTCTCTACATTAGGACTGTTTTATGTTTCTTCCAAATGCGAGCCTGAAGCGAGGCATCTTTTGCATCTTATCAAATGTTGTCATGGAAAAGTTAGTCTGGAACTGATTAGCTTCATTTTAAAGTGATTGTTCTTTCTGGTTAGAAAACATGAGAAATTTTCAAAATTAACAGAAAGGGATTCCAAAGTTTCAGACAACGGAGTCGTTGAATCGAGCTGTTATATTTGTCGCGCCTCAGTTTGAGTGGAGAGCATTGAAGCAACTCAGGAAGGACATTGATACGCGGGCAACATACATTACAGAAAAATCATTATTGGGTATTATCAACAACTTACATTTTTTGAAATATATGAAAGTCTCATTTTTGAAAAAGTCTGTAATGAATGATAAATTTAACTGCGAGTGTTGTATTACGGAATTGTAGATGTTTATTTTTTATCCTCAAAATTTTCTTAATTCAAAAAATTTTTTACAGTTTTGCAGATTCAATATGCGAGTGTAACATCAGTTTTTTGCTATAACTAGTAATGGAAAATCTTTTACCCTGCTATGTGATCTTATGCTTTTGAGTTATGAAGTCTGAAAATTCCGAGATTTATGATAATCTTATAGTCATCGTCTTGAAATTGAGTTATTGTTCAACTGTGCTTTTAATATTTTGTTGCACTTCGGTTTTTATTATTAAATCATTATTAAATGCATGAATTATGCTTAATTTAAAATTCGGATATATTGTATAACTTAATGTGCAAGTCTTTCCAAATTCGCAGCTTTCTCTTTAAATATTAGATATTTCCCATACGAATTTTTAGAAATAGGAACTTTACTTTTCCTATGTTCTTGTTACATATGGATGAAACTGTAGATTTTAAAATTTACACGATAAGTTCAGAATTGTTCTTTAAACTTTGTGTTTATTCACTTATCAGTTTTTTCAGATATACATTAAACTGTAGGCAGTGTTCCCGAAAAGTTTTGCTCCAGCTTTCGTTTTTCATCTTGAATTTTTTTTTCGAATTTAGTAGAAAGACTGGTAAAAGTCATCTCCTGTGTGTCATAATGCAAATTTAAGTTGTGGAGAGAGAGGGAGTTTTACCGGTACCTAATTTATGATCATTTCGATCCTTATATAATTTATGTTGCATACAACTATTCCATGAGTATTTCTTTGGCGTTAAGAAGGAAGAAGTTCAAATTTAAACTAATAAATCGGAAAACTTGTCCCATTACGTAGGAAAACTGACGGGAGTGAATTACGAAGTAGTTTGGGCATTTCAGTCTGTAAGGTTTAATCTCAGAGAACAGGATGTACTCGCAACGAGTTAAACGACATGCAGCAGCAAAATGGACGTACCGTTCGACAGCTGGCATATTGCACTCCTCAACATTTTAGGTCGTGTCATCATCGTCTTCGTTGTCATCACCGTTGTGGGCATTTGTTGTATTGATTCATTAAATTCGTCGCTGCAACAGCCGCTAGTCGCTGGCGCTTGACGCAGCAACAGCTGTAGCAGTGATGGTAGCAGCATCGTTCTGTGTTCCCCGCTTTCACCCATTTCTCCCTCTCTTTCTCGAACTCTATATTTTCACTTAGTTTGCTTGCTCTTGAAAGCATTTGTTGAGCAGAAGTACGAATGAATAAGTGCTACATCTCACCTCCTTTCACCTCATCTTATCTTACCTTCCTTCAATTATTTTAAAGTACTCCCATCCTCCACTTTTGGCTTCTGTCTTCAAGAACTGATCTATAGCGGTTTCTCGTTATTACTTATCTTTTACGATAAGTAGTAACGAGTCGCAATATACAACGTTGCATAGAACAGAACCAACTGAATAATACTTTAAATATCTTCAAATTTAAAACTAACTGTAACACTATAGGTGTTATTTTTAATTTAGTTTTCAGATCAAATGGTGAAAATGTGGAATGACGATTCTCGCCTCATTTTAATTGAGGAAGTACGAAAGCGTCGCGAAGTTTGGGAGTACAAAAAGGTTCAACTTTTTAACATTTTCTTTATCATTCCGCTTAATCTACTGTTTGTCATGCCCTTCACTTACTTATAGTCCAAAGACTGGTAGTCTTTTCTCATGATAGTCCAAAGATTGGCAGTCTTTTCTTATGATAGTTAAAACAATTTCATATTTCAAACCATTCCAAGTCAGTAATAAATTTCTTATACATTGATGATAATCAATTACCACAATATCATATGTTTTCTTAATAGTTAGCGAAGTTAATGGTAACTTTATTTAGTTGAAACAATCATATTTTCGAATGGAATTGTTGAAGTAAATAAAGTTTACCTCTCTTACATTCGGATACTAAAAATTTTCTTCCACACTCATTTCTAACGCAAAGATTACTGCATTTGGATATACATTATTTACAGTTTTACTCTCCATTCGACTGTATCAACACTGCTTGGTTGAAAATTGAATACTAATCAATGTTCTGTGGGTTTCACACCATCCTTTAAAAACACATTTATGAAATTTATTTGGATGTTCGAAAAAAAACTTCCCCAGTCATAATTTTATCTTCAGTTTTCAAACATTTCCTTTCTAACATTCACAATCCGTTCAATAATAAAGAACACTTCTCTCGTCATGAAACGAATGTAGTTGTAGGAGCGTTATGCGACTTCGGAAAGGAAGAAAGAGTTGTTTGCAGAAGTCGCAGATGCACTTAATGCTTCCGGTTTAGTAACAGCCGGTCTATACACAGGTCCTCCATGCTTTGTTTTTTCGTTTATTTTCAAGTGTCACCATGCCTTAATGATTTCTTTGATTTCTGAAACATGCGTATTTTTGTGAATGTCGTGAATGATTGTACTGATGTTAGTGAAACAATTTCAGCGTCATATGCTGAAAGGTTTAAATTATTGCAGTCGTTTCCTAACTGCTGATTGCAGAATTCGGTTCGTGTTAAGTATTTCTTTCATTTTTAGTAGTTTCTTTTCTAAACTATCTTTTTAGAAGAAGATGTTCGTACACAGTGGAAGAATCTGAAAGATACGTTTAAAAGGAAACTTAAAAGACGCCAGGCGGAAGTCAATGCAGGTTATGAGGACGCGGAACCAACTTGGCGATTCTGGAGCAAAATGCAATTCGTTAAGAATAATTTTGGTCCAGATCGAAATCGGTCTTCTGCATTGAGCAGGTAATTCAGTTGGTAATTCTCAAACTATTCTTTTCAGGGAATAGGAATTATCGAAAATTTTGAAAGCAAATGGATTTTGAAGATATAGAAAACGAAAGTTTGCTAGCAATTTATTAGATTAAAAAAATTTTGAAGAAATCAAGAAATTCGTACTGCAGCACAGTTTTGGTAGAAAACACACCTAATACGCTGGAGAAATTGATCAGTTCTCTTGTCGAGAAACAGATGTCTGATGACAGCAATAACAGCATAGAGTATGATTTTATTGTTACATTTCAGTTAATGTGCCATCGAAGAGTAAAATTGGCCTGCTGATTTTGTTTTCAAATTTCTTGAATATAATTCAGTTTGGCAATAAATATGTTAATTTTCTTCCAGCAGTTGCTTTGAAGTATGTCTACAGGAATTTTGCTTTGTTAGTTTATTGTTTTTAGGATATAATTACACAGAATTTCTCTGGAGTTTGTCGCACAGTTTTTGCATATTCATCATTTGTCAATTGACATGTACTTTTACAGTGGACAGATAATGAATGCAACAGAGCTGCCATCAGTCGCATCAACTTCCCTTCCCATTCCTTCTGCAAACAACAGCAGCAATAACAGTTGTAACAAGAGCACTCTCAGTAATACAAACACTGTTATACCTGATATTCAAGTCACATCAACTGCAACACCTACAATAGAAATGCATATAGCTCAGTTTGTCCCACCTAACATCAATTATTTGGAGGTATGTCGTAAGATAGTTTTTCTGTTTTCAAATTAAAAATTTTACTGTTTTGTTAGCGAATTTGATCCTTCCATCCACTTCTAACAGTTATGTACATTGTCAGTGTACAATGATATGAAGTATAATGGTTCTTAATTCTGAAATAAATAACGATATCTCTTTTTATTCTAAAATTAAAGAGCTTTTTAAATAAACTGAGTTGTCTGCTAATAAATCATTCTGTTGTCAGTATTTTATATATCGGCATTAATTTTACTATATAAAACCACTGGTACTAAATTATTCAGCAATGCCATTCATTGCAGGGCATAGCATCTCACTCACCATTGTCACAACATCTTGGATTTGACTCAAATAAATTGAGATCGCCTTCACCAGTTAATCCGGAAATACATCCTTGTGCAAGTGCTTTAGCTGATCTTCAGAAAAAGGCAATGAAGAGGAAAGTATCGGAAGCAAGCAACGAGGATTTGCAAAATATGCAGGAGCCAGACGATGAATGCGCCTGGTTTGGTAAGTTTTACCAAATTACTGTATATTATTATAACATATTCATGTGATATATTAGTCTTTTCTATGGCAGAGAACTTATGTTTATATATAATTTTAGTGTATGCAATAAAGTCCTAAAATATTCCGAATTCTAGGTCGAAGTGTATCAAGTGCGTTACGCCGACTTTGCTTGACATCACCACTTTCGGCACTTACTCTCAAAAAGCAGATCTCAGATTTGATATATGAGGCGGAAATCAAGCAATTAATTCGTCATCGAAAAACAGGGCATTCGTAAAAAAATCTTATCGTTATCAGCGCTTGAGTTGAAAAAGAAACCAGGAGGACTCAGTCCTCGGAATTATACTAAATATAGTAAGAATGAAAGTACTGGAGATTGTAAGTCTCAAATGATACAGTTTAGCAGTTCTTCTAGAGAAGGATCTGTGCACTGAGCAGTCGATGTTTATCGTTCAGCGATGTTTTTCAATTTTTTCAAATCACACTGTTATTAATATAATGTATTACATAAATGGTGCATATTTGTTACAGAAATCGCGAAAGAACTTAATTATTGCTTACTAAGATGATAAATTTTTGACTCTCATTCCTAAGCTTCAGGTTATGGTTATTGTGACAATTTTCTAAGACTTCAGTCAAGAAGTTTAAAAAAATTGTGGGAAAAGCTAAATCATCGAAACTATCACCGTTTTATGGAGAAGTTTTTATAATATAATTTGCGGGTAATATTGTAAGTTATTTCTATTGCTGTATGAAAGTACTGTACAGCTTTAATAATAAAGTTTATAATTAATAAAGTTAAAAAAATTTAACATTTCGCCTTACTGCTTTTTACTGAATATGATCATAATTCTTCTGTTTTGATAATCAAAAGATGCAGATAAAAGCTATAAAATGTTAAAAAAGTGACATGATTTATACATTTTCAACATGTTTTTAAAGGTAAAATGAGTTCTTCTTGGTTTAATTTCAAAATACTTCGTGTGTGTTGCTTTTATATGACATTAAATGTACATGAACATTCCTCGCTAAATTAATTTAATAGTAGTAACGGGGTCAAAAAATCCCAATCATCTATTGCAAACTACAAATCACTTTCCAACCAATTACAGACCGTTTGCAAAAGTCCTTCATTTCATGTATTAAAAAAAAAGCAAATTTTCTATGCTAATAATGTTTCAGGGTGTTAGTAAATAGTTCAAACAAAGCAAAGTAGAGAAATCTGTGAAAAGAAAAATAAAAAAATTGAAAAGAAGCTGTGGAGGAATACACAAAACAATTTTCGTTTTGACTAAACATTTCTGAATGATATATGCATTGCACTGAGAATAACTCAGCAGCAATTATTGCTTTTGTTTTCTCTTCTTTGTAAGGTGAAAATTCATTGCAACGAGATTGATGGATGACAGATCATTTACCGTATTATGTGTTCGACAGAATAAAGTTGATTAGAACAGAGTAAAAAAATAAATTTGCTAAAATGATGTGTTAAATAAGCCATATTCACACAGATTGTTTCAGTTGATTTTAAATTGCGATTAAAGATAAGCTAAGAAAAGATCTTTTTAAAATTGGTAAAAAATGTCAGTTACATCAATGAGGACAGCGATGGACAAAACTTTGTATATTATCACCATGCGATGATAAAGAAAATATTGATGAATATGAAAACAGAGTACAGGCAGTAAGATTACTATGAAAAAAGACTCATCGTCTGTTATAATGAGCATAGACAAAAAGAATGGTTCGTGCTATTCTCTTCAAAATGCAAAGGCTTGGATATACATTTATTTTACAATATTTATAAAGCTAATCAGTTTTTTTATATTGCTGTATGAATTATCATCCTTTTGTGAAAAAGCTTTTTCAACATAATTTACGGATAATATTGTAAGTTATTTGTATTGTTGTATGACGTTTTAAATAAAATTTCGTTTGGATTCTACATAAATATATATCATAGTCATATGATTTGATATTAAGGATACTTTAATATTTTTAAGTGAAAATAGTTTTGAGTCATTGCTTTCAGTTATTTTGGAAACAGTAATAGGTAATTCGTGTTAAACTAACGCGAATCAAATTTTTACATTCTATAATAGTATTTTTCATCATATGTACACAATTTGACTATTCTGATGCTAATTTCATTATTGGCATTTAATTAAATTAGAACATGTTAGAAGTTTCTTCAACTCGACTTCCTTGATACGTAAAGAGCAATTGATGGAAATGAGGAAAGATATTCATTTGTTTGTTTCTTTATAAAACTTATCAAAGTATATGAATTAAATTTCTTATGCTATATCTGATGCGAATCCTTTTATTTCAAGTCATTGAATTCTTCTCCCAACTGCATCAGATGAAGACACTGATTCATAACCATTTTTGAAACAAGGCTCGAGATATTTGTGTTGAGGATGGTTGCTATGGCGTTTTCGTTATCGTATCAATTTTCGATTAGCAGTTTACCTTTCTGACGGTATTATTGCTTATTTAATCATTTGTTTACCTGTCCTTCAATTTACTCGGCAATTACTCGTTTGCTTACTAGTGATCGTTTTTTTAATTGTTTAAAAATTTACATTACCAAATTTTCTCAAATTTTATGTGTGCCAGCAATTGATGATTCATCACATAGTTTGCATAAAATCTTTTCAAAGTTTTTTTGTAGTTTTTATATTTTGCATAAATGGAACGAAAAGAAGATGGAGAGGAAAAGAAAAATGAAGAAGTAAGTGATCGAAGTCCTGCTCAAAAATATGATCTGTATGTCCTCTCCGATGAACTAAGTGATAAACTTAAATTGTTAAACTATGAAGAAGATTATGCAAAATTAGCTCCAAGCTACAGGACTGTTTCTAGGTAAAATTCTTCTTGTAATAATGAAGTGATTAGATGCAATTAATTATGTAATAGTTAGATGTTTTGATTGTTCAAGAAAAAATAATTTTGAATAAATGGAACCATTTCCATACGTTTATTTCTGGAATAGTAAGGGTCAACTTTTGAAAACAAAGTGAAAATTACTTTATCTATAGAGTAGAAATTGACCTCTGATATCACATTGTTGTTGACGCAACCTGAAAAGATGTTCTATCTAAATTGTTATTTATTCTTTTTCATTAATTAAGTGAAAGTTACCAATCAATATTTTTTTGCTGGCCTATTTGGAATTTAAAATTCTCAAGTTAACAAGTAATTCTAGTTAGTAGGTTCTTTTATAGAGAGTATTTTGTGGCAAGTACAAATATTGGTGAGCAATTTTTTATTTTCACTACACTATCCGCGTGGCTCATCCAGAAATCTATCGACCCGACATTCATAATCCCGCAAGAAGTATCTTTAAATTGCCATTACTCATCTTCTTAACCTATTACATTAACACAAAGCGTCCGATGACATTGCAGTTTGATGACCCCAATGGGACAATCTTAAATATTCTCAGTGCATTGCGAAGTAACAATGTTTCTATTGCTTTTGCACCAAATAAACTAAAAACTGGCGCTGGTGAGCAATGCTTGTACGTGTTGGACAAACTCGCTGATTTTGCACTTACTGCCGGGCAATTCTGTTGGAGCAAGTAATCTTTGATCTGATCTATTTATTAATCGGTTCATTCAAGAATTCCTATAACCGGATCTAATAAATAAATCCAACTTTGTTGGAAAAGAAAAAGTCCAGACTGGTTATTTGTCTAGTCAAACGTTGTAGTTACAGAGCGAACCCAGTGCCACAAGATGATGAAGGAATGGATGAAGCAGTTGATCGGATTGAAATTACAGCCGAAGAGGTAAGAAATCGATCTTTGTCTCCACTGCGCCATATTATCACGTGTAAAACTTAAATTTGTTGCTATTTAAAATATCATTTTGCTTTATCTTAAGGTTTATCTGTAATTTAAGAGCTTTGAGTAAAGTTTAAAATTTGCTCACACAAACTCAATTACTGAATAACTGAAAGAAATTTTAGTTCGATGAGGGCGAACAGATGGATGTTGCTGATGATGATGATAACGAAATTGTGATGGATCTGAAAGTCATACCATCTTCAAGAATTACTGGTGGAGAAAGTGTAAAACTTTATTGAACATTTCTCGAAGATTTCAACATAGGATGTGATATTTTTTTTCTAATTTTAATTATGCCGATTTTCAGCAACAGCCTTTAGGTGGTATCCTCCATAGCGATACAAATGTGAATTCTTGGAAACTTGAAGTTGAACGAATAGCACCACGTCTTAAAGTTACCTTCGAGCAAGATTCAAAAGTATGGTGTAATTCGAACTTAAAAATTTACTTCTAACCTTCGAATGCATTTCCAAAACAAAAAAAAAGAAAAAAAACAAGAAACCAAAATTTCCCATTTGAAAAAAAATGATGGTGACAAAATATTCCAATAAAAAAATAGAACAAAAAACTTCAAAAAATTGAAACTTCAACAAGAAAATTCTACGCAACTTCATCAACAAACATATCAAGTGATATTCAAAATGAAGTAGCGAAAAATGCATTATTGACTTGCATATGTAGAATTATTTAGGACTGGAGAATGCATTTGGGACGAATACGGTTCTTACAGAAAACAGTAACGGAATTGTTGAATACGACAGAGCCTCACTTGAAGAGTGTTTCTAATGAGCTCGATAAAACAATGGAACGAATTATGAGTAGGTAGGAAGCGGTTCATGCATCTTATTGCTTTTTTGAAGTTCTATTTGCATCAAAACTTCATTTACAGGGAGAAACATTTCAACAGTCAACTGGAACCTGTGTTGACCAAATTTTATCATGCTAAAGAGAGAATGACTGAAGTAGAAGAAAAATACAAGTAATCTTTATATCTCGTGGCATTCTATAAGTTCTTATCAAAAAATTGGCCTTAATGTTATGTGAAGGTTTATTTATTTGAACAGGGAAATCAGTAGTGGTATTTTGGAGCGTACTCAAAAATTGCAACGTGTCAATGATGAACTGGAACAAATCAAGCAACAAATTGACGAGAAAAGTCTCCGAAATAGTGATGGAGGTAGTTTATTGTTTCTTCAGCCAGTTAGCATCTAGCTTTGACTGATAGAAATTGTACTTTTCATTTCAACCAATATTTAGTGGTTTTTATATTTGTTTATCATCCATTCCTACTGATTACTTTTAACAGTTTTTACTGCACATTGATTACTCATCGATATTATAATAAACTGATAGTCTCTTAACGCTGTGGAACGTATTTCTCGAAGTTCCAAGTGAGAACATTACAATTTGTTTGGCGCTGATTGATT